ATCATGGATATACATTCCCTGTTTATCAAAATGTCCCTCCTCTAACTCTTCTTTCATGTTGAAGGGTGTAATTTGAATTTCTCCATCAAAATCCACAGTGCCATCTTCCTGACCTAAAAAAGACGATAAAATTTTACTTTTTTTCTTAATTTCTCCCTTCTGCTTTATTTCTTTTCATACTAATCTTTCTCATGCCTAGTTATCATTTGAATTTTCAAGTTGACCTTTTTGTAATGTGGGTTAAGAAATATAGTATTGCAAACATGGTAAGGGGGGTAATTGTTTTACCTTCAGCCTAAAAAAAAAAAACACATATAATTTCAACCTTGGAAGCTGCTTTAATATATCAATGTATAATCTATAGTGTCCTTATTTTAAAGGGGCATTAGCTACCAGATATAACAATAAAGAGCTGCGCCATGAGCGCATGATACGCCCGTTGCTTTTTCAAAGAATAAAGTTCCATAACTCCTCAATGTCATATCAGAAATTTATAAAAAAACTAAAGGGAGGTTATTTTAATAGATATAAAAGTAACCAGTTTCATGAAAACTGCTCAAAGCACTTTTGAGTTATTGTCTGAAAACTGGAAAATCACCCCTTTTTTATGAATAAAATCCTATAACTCAGGAACATAAAATCTAAAATTTAGAACAATAAAAAGGGAGCTTACGTCAAAGTTTCATGAAAACTTCTCAAAGCATTTTTGAGTTATTGTCCGAAAACTGGAAAATCACCCTTTTTTAATGAATAAAACCCCATAACTCGGAAACATAAAATTCTAAAATTTATAAAGGAAGCTCATGTCAATAGATATAAAAAATTCACCAAAGTTTCATGCAAATTGGTTAAAGCATTTTTGAGTTATTGTCAGACATGTTGACGACGGACGGACGGACTGACAACGGTATCCCATAATCATTATTTAAAGTGATAAAGTGAAAATACTAATTGGCTTTTAGCAGCCAATTTGGTTCAATTTTGTCAAATTAAGATAAGAAATATCTCTGATGAATTATTCACTTGCAAGTGGATAATTCGACCTCATTGAATCCGTATTCCATGTGACCTTTAATTTAACCCCTTAGCTGGAGATGGGTTACGCATGTATTCAGCCATTAAAAGGAAAAGAATGTCAACATTGAAAGTAAAACGAGAATAAATCATTTGGTTGACTGATTCGATCCACAAAAAAATCATTCTTACACAGGTAAAAACGATGATAAACATACTTTTTAACCTACAATATGAAAACAAACAGACATAGAAAAATCCAATTGTACGTGGACGGTATCTGTTTATATTTATGCTTTTAAGGTTATAAACGAAAAAAAATCAAAATCCAAAAAAAATATCTTTCTGAAACACATAATGTGCTTAAATTTTATATATCTAGTGGATGCCAGGCCTTAAAACTTTTCCAACAGCACAGGTTAGTCTGTACTCAGAGTAGATTTTGAGGTGTAAATACAGCCATTTTTGTCCATTTGTTATGATGAACCTTAAACAAACATTTTAAATTGACTCATTAAAAACCATATAACCCTTGGGACCTCATCAGGTAGCACCAGCCTCATATTAATCTGTATAATTATGATGATGATGATGATGGGAGTTTTTAACGACCTAGACTGGCTATACAGCCCTCGCACGGTCGGCTCGTGCCTGGAGGAGATTGTTGAGCATTGAATATTTTGTGTTGCAGTTGGACAGGAACAGGTGGAAGGCGCCATTTTGGTAGGTGCAGTGTTTTCCCTAGGCTATTCAAGCATTGCGGTACCGCTACGCATAAATTTCGACCGCCATGCTTTCATCATTGCCGCAATGCATCCCGCTATGTGTGAAAATAATAACTGTGTAAAATATTTATTATCGATATTTTGAAAGTGAAGTGACAAGTGACAACACTCCACAGGTGTTTTAAACTCATCCGACTCATAATTGGATGCATCACGTCGCGCGTGCCGGGATTTTATAACCTTCTTGATTAGTTGCATGGTTGTATACATTTACACATCGAGACTTCGGTTACATAATAGAAGTTGCCAGTTAGCTGATAAATAAATAGTAAGATTAATCTCCAATGCATATCTTTCTGTGCCAAATAAAAAGTTTTAACATTTTCCCAGTATAAATTTCACCAAAAAACGGGAGTTTGACATCGTTATTTTACTGTGATCTTTAAAAAGTAGAAATTTAAAATTTAGTATAGTCTCTGGTATCATAAAATAAAACTAACGTAATTTCACCGAGAATGAACAAAACCTTTTTTTTAAATAAAGTTTCACAGTTTTTTCATCAGCTATATCAATGTATATTTACATCGATGAACTATTTTTTGATTGGTCACAACAATCAGTTATTTTTAGATTAGTCGCGGTTGATTGATTATAAGTTAGGATCCTTCTTGAAAAAGTCATTAGAACTGAGGGCAGGGGACTCTTAACAACTTGTTTGTTTTTATAAATTTTGATGCTGTTTTTATTGTGTTTTTTTTTTTTTTTTTTTTTATATATGTATGTATATATGTTTATTGTGTTAATACATGTTGGTCACAAACTGTAAAGTTTATAAGACAATAAAATATTTGATTTGATTTGATTATATCAAAGAATACACATCACCGCAACCGTGCCGAGAAAAAGACGTGTCTTATGAAATGATGGAAAAACTTTCAAAACATACGAAGTTATTTACGGAAATATTGTTTTTAATATAATAAACTAGTGTTGTTCTATCTTTAATTCAATGGGTCACATAGCGGATTCATTTGCCGTTTTTTACACAAGTGGGGCTAAATAATTTTTCTTTCACTTCGGCAAGATAGGATTTTTACAATTATGAAGCGTTATAAATAAATCGGACAGGAATGTATTTAAAAATTGTCATGAAATAAAATGTCAGTTAGCTTCCAAACAGGTAATTGCCAAATATGTCATCTGTATGTTAGGTATTCTTCATTGACGACTTCTGTAATTAAGGGACGACATCAAAAGATCAATGTAGGATAAAAATACTTCAATCAAATAGTTTGGGGGTGGGGGTTAAAATTGCTGCAAGTTTTGTTTATCCAAAATCGACTTTACATATATCCATATTGGTCAATCAATTAATCAATTTTTCCCAAAGTAAGTTAAGGGGGGGGGGGTCAGTGAAAAAACTATGTGAATTAAGTTTTTTTTTATCCTACAATGAACTTTTGATGTCGTCCCTAACACAAATAAACTTTTTTATTATTGTTCCCTGTAAAATCTCTGTGAAGCAATGAAGACATTCAAAGTTTCATTTAACAACTTGCTGTTACTGCTGAAACCATTCTATCAGCAAATTGAGGAATGTAAAGACATGACATTTAGGCAGACAATGAACAAAGTTGCCAGTCTTAGAACTTTGTATCCATGTCTGTCTAAGTATGCAGCAATTGGTCTTGTTTTGCCAGTTTCAACAGCTGATTGTGAAAGGTGTTTTTCATGTTTAAACAGAGTTAAAACACCTTTGAGAAACAGACTATGCCAAAAAGTGCTGAATTGCTTAATGCATATATCAATTGAAGGACCAAAGGAGGAAGATTTTGATTTTGAAAAATGTGTGGTGAACTTTGGAAAGTTGAAACGGAGAAAGATATCAACAAAATAATGTGTACATGATATTAATTTGTAAATAACTAGTGCAGACTGGATTATTTTTATTATTGTTTATAAGGTCTTTCATTAATTCCTCTCATCTGTAATAAATACTTTAAAGTTCCATGACTTACCTATAATAAAACAATTAGATTGGTATATGGCTTTAAACATTTAAATTATGTAGTGTTCCTAATTCTGAAAAAGAATCATCGCGCGCCGTGTTGCAAATCCACCATGGACCCACCATGCATGAAAAATTTTCTAGGGAAGACACTGAGGTGGCCATCTTGGTTTACGTGAGTTGTTTTTGGATTTTTACTATTTTGATGTTTCTTTGCATAGATTCCACAACGGCTGCTTTCAGGGCCAGGGTGATCAGCTGGGCAGCCCCTAACCACGACGATGTGTTACTGGTAGATGAATCATTGGCTCAGTAGCAGATGACTGCAATTGCACTAAAACTATGATACAGCTAGCCCTCGAACGTCTGGGCAGCATATGACACTCACCCATCCACAATAGGTTTCAGAGTGTTGTTGACGCAGGATAACTGTACGGGAGCCTCATAAACTAGTTTGTCGTTGAACCATCTGATCAACGTAACATGTTGTAGCCAACGGATAATCAGGAGCTGATCCAGCATGTACTTTCAGCTGTAAGGACTGAGACATGACTGAGATGATGGACTGGATTGATCATCTGATGATAATGTGATGTCATGAAAATAATTATGTGTCACAACCGATTAGATTTATACATGCACCACAATATTCTAATAATGCCAATGGGAGATAACTCTTTTTATTTTAAACACTAAGAATTTGTGGTACCACAGAACTGTTATGACTAATATTGAGGCATATCTGTGATGTGTATTTAAGTAATTAAGTTTTAGAATATATCAAGACCGCAAATAATGCTATGAATGCTATATGATCTTGATGAAAACAAGATAGGAACAAGTCTGATAGATACGAATGAAATTCCGAGTTGATATCAAACCTTCAATATCATCTTCATGCAAAACGTCATATTTTCCCGTGTTTTCATCTTCCTCGTCGCTATCTAAGGAATGTTTATCTTTGAATCGTCGGGCTGCTTCGTCGTCTAAATCTTCGAAATCTCTCAAATCTTCTTCGCGGTCTTGTTCGAATCGTTTTCGTTTCGACATTTTCAGAATTTTCACAATTCAAAATTTTAGACTAAACGCATTTAGTATTATTACAAATATAATTATTTATCCAAATATAAACGTATAAGTATATGATATCTGACTCATAAGTTAATTGTTTTTATGTTTTTTAATCCTAAAATTTACGAAAAAGATGAAATACATTTTGATTCGTTTTATTCGTTGTGATTAATAAAATTTCGAATTGTTTAAAAATGGAAGAACGCACTTGGTTACTGGAGTAGAACGGTCGTTTTCTGTACACTAAATCCCATTGCAGGCTGTTTCACGTAAAATATACTATAAAAAATATATCTCTTACTGATGTTTTTTTAAAAACTCTTCATATTTCTACAATTTGACATTTTTTTGTGCATTATATTGGTGCAAAAAATTGAAGAAAAAAATCCAAGTGTACCTGTGAAGTTATTTTGGTACAATGACCCTGAGACTTATGCATGAAGGCCCATAAAAAATTTGACACTTATAGTAGGGCACATGAAGGCCTATAGAAGATTAGTCTTATTGTAAATATAAGTAGTATTAAAAATCAGCTTGCACTCTCTATTTTTAAAATCTGATATTGAACTTAAACAAAAGGTACATAAAAGAATAAACAATAAAAGTCAGTAGAAAAATAATACTTAACTCATTAATATTGATTTATAGAAAACAAAAACACAACTAAAAACAAAACTAACCATCTCTGAAACAAACTACAGAAAAACTGAGTATCTGGTACTCAACCAGAAAGAAAATCAAAGGTTTTTATATGGTGTGATGCCATTACAAAAAGATCAATAAGATAAATTATCAGTTGCAATTATGTCTTTACCGTCTTGGTTGAAACTTGACTGAAAACAAGGCAATTATATTATCCAGTTAACAAAGATTGTGCATTCCTGCCAAACATCAACTCAAATGCTAAAACAAACAAACATTGGTCATACTTTTATGCAATTAATTTATAATCTGTCATTCTGACATGCATACACACTATCATTTTTGTTAATTTCTTGATAAACGCAGAGAATATTGAAATCTGTTTACATCAGCACGTTACATGTATATTACCAGCAATAAATGTGTCAAGTCATGTGGTAACGAGAACCAACAGAAATTTCGTTTTTGACGACCCCAAACAGTAAAACTATTTGCCGGTAATTGGGTTGGACACAAAGACTTCATATGCTGGAACCTCTAAAATTCTGCTCCCTAGGTCTGACAGGGCCAACTTTTAGCTGCATCTTTTGCTTATTTACAGGGATTATGACAAATAACATTTTATATTTGCTGATACATTGTAACATAATCATTTTTGATGTTGAAAAAATGTATACCTTATTTTGCAGTACTTTATAGTTAACATGAGTCTGGATGGGGTCCTTCATTTCTGTGTTCTTTAATATATTTAGGCATTAAAAATATTTTTTCTTTATCTTTTAAAATAACGCATACATATATTCTGTAAAATTCTAATAAAATTAATTTGTAATCACATGATTTCTTCATTCTGCACTTGTATCCTTCATTTTTGAAATCAGTACTGTATTACCCTAATGCTTTATTTTCATCAGTTATTCTATATCATGTTTATACTTTTGCACTCCCTTATTTTCCATTCTTCATTTTTTTTTTGCTTTCTTTAATTTTCTCTTCATGATTTTTTTATTTATCATTCTTTATTCTGTAAACCCCATCCAGACCTCATATATGTTTATGTTTGTATGTATATTGTATATGTACTTTAACTTTATAATAAACTTTTAAACACTAAGTGTAGTCACTCTAAATTTATATCCATTTAGAATTATATTTCATCAACCTTCTCCAAAATAATCTCAAAATTTATGATTGTGCTGAGGAAATCAAGAGTGGTGCTTATAATAAAAGAATGGAATAGCACCATCACTTGAATAGTGGTGATTTCTGTTTTACATTGTACATATGATGTAGCCACTTGTCTGTTCTTAATTATCAAACTATTGATGTGTTTTGTGGGTTTATTGTGTTATACATGTACCATTACCTAGTTCTAATAATCAATCTTATAATTTTCTATTTATAGATTAAAGAATGAAAATGAATGTCTTGGAACCAACATCTCGTGTGGGAGTTGCCCTTGACCTTATCCTAAACACACTGATATCATCACAGGATTTTAATGAGTTGCAGACGAAAAATTGGGAAGCTATTGCTAGGCTTATACCTGGGTCTTCCCCAGGACAGGTAATACTTTTCAGATACAGACATCTAAGATGATCTTACTGAAAAATTAAAAGGAAATAAATGGTCATCTTGCTAAATAGGTGTACAAGACCATTTACAGTTTCTAATGGACTGAACGGAATGAATGTTAAAATTTGAAGAATATTCTTACTTTATCTATGTTTCTTTTCATTGATTTAAATTCAGGTTGCTAGAAGATATGAGGAGTTATTGCTGACAGGGGATGTGTATGCTATGAATCAGTTTGAAAAAAATTATACCATTCCTGGAGCTTCATCACAAGTCAGTCTGACAGAATCTGATCTTAGCAGTAAGACTGGAGGAAGTTGTCCAGGATCTGCTTCACAGAAAGGTGGTCAATTATACCTCAAAGTCAAATGTGTTTAAAAAACTTAGGAATCAGCCATTTCACTTTTATTGCCTAGGCAAGAAGAAATTAAAAAATCTTTAAATTATATGACAGAAAAAATAAGCAGGATAAATGTATGTACTGTAAAGTGAGAAATTTTTCGTGAAAGTTTTATATTTTTGCTAATTTTGTGATAAAGATAAAATTGTGAAAATATCCCTGCTCATTGATTTATTCTTTAAAGAAAATAAGAATCCAGGACAAGAAAAACACAACAAATTTTAACTTGCAATTTGCAAACTGGTTTTATACAATAAATCGTGAAATTTTAACTCCATGGAAATATACCACTTACCAGTTTTACCATTTACCACTCTGAAATTTTGTTGAAAAAATACCATTTACACTATTGAGCAAAACAATACATGTAGTCTCAAGGGAACTGTGGTAAAAATACAGGAGCTTAGATCAGTTCATGCTCCTCCTTCCCCACAATCAAATTATTTCTACCTTATATGTAATCTTATAACTCGGACTACGAGTACTCCTTCTCCATAATCAAATTATTTCTACCTTATATGTAATCTTATAACTGGGACTACTAGTACTCCTTCTCCACAATCAAATTATTTCTACCTTGATTAAATGTAATCTTATTACTCAGACTACTAGTAAAGTACATTTAAAAGTCTATTTGGTTCAGATCCTTAAATGCCTTGAAGTGATTGATAATAGGGAACACTAGAATAATATCTTTAGAATCTTGTCCTTTAAACTTTTGTATTGTACATGATAAATGTCTTATGTTTAATAGGAGATAAAGATAGCAAGGATACAAATGATTCCAAAAGTAAACAAAGCGGGAGAAACAGTGATGATCAAGGGTAAGGTTAAATAATAATGAATAAATCAAATGGTAACCAAAATATGGTATAAATAAACTGACATCTGAGGTAAATATCAATAAAACAGCAAATAAGCAAAATATACATCTACAGGTTATCACACCATGTCGTAAGCTCAAAACTGCTTTCAGTAGACAAGTTAAAAATATGTACCAACTTTTATTAGATGCAAGTTCAAAAATGTATTCTATGTTTATACTTATGTATACAATATGGTTCAGATAGCATAATTAAAAACTATTTTTGATTCTAATCTTCATGTCTTTTGGGTTCTTAGGTGTGCATTATCATGGCATAGTTGTGACTTAACTGGCATTTCAACAAAAGATCAATCATAGCCAAATTCATATATTTTGCATTTCAGTAAACTTTTGATAACTTGCATTCATTATGTTCACATTGACTTTTAAACTTACAGTTTTGTTATTCTGAAGTAGTAAAGAGATTTTATAGGTCTCTAAAATATAGCAATATTAACCAATGCCAAGGCTATAACTACTGAGACTGTAATTTTTGAACAATTGTATTTTTTTTACAGTCCTGTTATGACTATACATGTCTGTGATGAAGCTAAAAGCTGTAAGTAGAAAATCAACAAGCATAACTGTCATTATTACTACAAATAGAATAAAGGAAACAAAAAGTAGTAGGTTCAATAAGGCCCTAAATGGCCCCTATTTCTAGCTATAATTTTAAATTAGGATTTATTGACCAATATCACAATGAATCATAGCTAATACAATAACTAGGTAGGAAATATGACTTTTTGTTGAAAATTTACGTACGTGCGTTCTATTCATGACGTCACAATTAACATTCATTTTGATTTTTCATGAAAACGGGTAAATTTCACATATACAGCTGTATGTATTCAAGCAGACCCCTATATTACAAGAGGATAACTCTCTTGAAATCTCTTGATATCAAAAATCTGAAAATTAGAAATTTTTAAAGCAAAAGATTTTGTCAGTACATATGTATATGAAAAAGCAGTTGGAAAAATAATGAGAGAGCCATATAATGTTTCAATAAATGTTATGGCCAATACAGGAAGTTGCAAACCTCTGATATAATATGTCTCGGATTTAAGTAAATATATTATGCAAGCTTTTTCTTTCCTTTAGTGAAACAAGACTTCCATTGTCCTCGGGATCTGCTGGTCCAGGAGATGAAATATTTTGCAGAGTATTTATCAACAGATGCACAGCGCTGGGAAGAAGTAGATATTTCTGTTCACTGTGATGTACAAATTTTTGATTGGTTGATGAAATATGTTAAACGAGGATCAAAAGATGTACCAGAGAAACCTAGGCTTGGTAAATATAACTTCCACAACCTGAATTCTTCTACACAGCTGCCAGGTGCCTCTATGGACAAGTTGTCTAAGTAGTTCATCTACTGTTATCACTGGCATGTAAACACTGAGGACAATTAGGTTATGAGTTCGAACCCCTCACATGGCAGGTGCTTTTGACTACAATCTTAATTGACTAGGTTTGCCTATTTTCATGCAGAAGGTCAGTGGTTTTCCCCGTGCACTTTGACTTCCTCTACCAATAAAAACTGATTGTAACCATGTATAGCCAATAGTGCTAAAAGTGGCGTTTAACACCAACAATCAATCAATCAATCTACACTGCTGTCCACACTTTAAGGATGTTCGCTACTCTGTTTTAAAATAACAAGCTTTTTTAAAGACTGTTATAGATGGATAGTATATAAATAAAGGAACTAAAAAAGCAAAAAAAATGAAGGGTCTGTGTGCTTGTTTTCAAGATATAAGCCATTTAAAATTTGGCTGGAAATAATTTTCTCTAGATTTTTCATACATTTAACATTGGCACCCTTTTTCTTTTAAAAAATATGAAAAAATAACAAGGATTTTATAAGATTTTCAAATATGACTTTTTAAGGTAGATGGGGTGTCTAAATTATAATCCATAGAATTTTTTAATAATATGCCAAAATGTAGTTTATATCATGCTTTTTAAAAAATAATAATAAAAAGAATGGGTCACGGGGCTTATTTTTACGCTACAGGTTGTGCAAAATTGACAGATTTTGTATAGATTATGCATGGAAAACCCAATTTTCTGCCATAAAACGAAAACTACACCATAGAATTTTGAGATAAAATATGAGAAGATAGCTTTAATAGTATGCTTTCAGATAAGAAAAAGAAAAAATGGGGTCACGGGACCCGTTTTCTTGCTACATAATAAAATAGGTAAATTCCTAACACATTCTATTGTAAAAGTAACTTTTATCTGAATTATCTGCCCTTACATTTGAGTTGCCTCCCCTGATGTGGCAAAGTTGGAAAAAATAGAATCAAACAAAAGCATTCTGTTTTTTTGTAAAATACAACCATAAATATGATAAAATATGTCATTTTCTATATTGAAATGAAAATTCTTACACATGAATTACCCACTACTCTCAAAATTTGCACCTTTTATTAAAGATTTAGACCGATTGTTTTCTGGTATTTCAAAATCCAAGATGGAGGAAGACACCTTATCTACCTTAAACTATATGTAATAAAATTATGAAAAGAAAAGTAGGGGTTAGAGGGGAAAATTTTTAAATGGCACTACATGGATAAAACCAAAGGATTCCGAATATCTGGCAAAAATTCAAAAACAAGAGGAGCAAACATCCTTAAGAGATTTTTAGGGAAATTATATAATGTACCGGTAAAACAACAGTATGGGTATGACACAAATAACATTTGGATTTTAGTTTATATGACTGAAGCACAAAATTTAACTTGCAGTGAATTGAGTATAAATTATCTTGTGTAATTTTGAGTAATGTAGAGTGTAATATAATACCATTTTGTGAATTTTAATTTTGTATTTGCAGAAGCCAGCAATGTGATATCAATTTTGATTTCGTCTGATTTTCTCAAAATGGACTCACTTGTAAGTACATTTCTTAAATGGTTTAGAGAGTTGTAATTATACCCCACGCAACGAGTTGCGGAGGGTATAATGTTTTTGACCCGTCCGTCCGTCTGTCCGTCAGTCCGTCCGTCCGTCTCTCAGTCCGTCAGTCCTATTTCTTGTCATCGCAACACCTCTCAAACCACACAACAGAATTTCACAAAACCTTTTTAGATAATAAGGATATACTATGTAGTTGTGCATATCAACAGGAAATTACGATTCAATTTTTTTTCTAGGAGTTACGCCCCTTTGAACTTATTTACTTTAATGTACTACTGCAACAGTTTGTCATCGCAACTCCTCTCAAACCACACAACAGAATTTCATGAAACCTTTTCAGATAATAAGGACATACTACGTAGATTTGCATATCGACAGGAAATTATGATTCAATTTTTTTTCCAGGAGTTACGCCCCTTTGAACTTATTTGCCCAATATACTACTGCAACCTTTTGTCATCGCAACTCCTCTCAAACCACATAACAGAATTGCATGAAACCTTTTCAGATAATAAGGACATACTACGTAGATGTGCATATCGACAGGAAATTACGATTCAATTTTTTTTCCAGGAGTTACGCCCCTTTGAACTTATTTGCCCAATATACTACTGCAACCTTTTGTCATCGCAACTCCTCTCAAACCACACAACAGAATTGCATGAAACCTTTTCAGATAATAAGGACATACTACGTAGATGTGCATATCGACAGGAAATTACGATTAAATTTTTTTCCAGGAGTTACGCCCCTTTGAACTTATTTGCCCAATATACTACTGCAACCTTTTGTCATCGCAACTCCTCTCAAACCACACAACAGAATTGCATGAAACCTTTTCAGATAATAAGGACATACTACGTAGATGTGCATATTGACAGGAAATTAGGATTCAATTTTTTTCCAGGAGTTACGCCCCTTTGAACTTATTTGCCCAATATACTACTGCAACCTTTTGTCATCGCAACTCCTCTCAAACCACACAACAGAATTTCATGAAACTGGGTAGATAATAAGGACATACTATGTAGATGTGCATATTGACAGGAAATTATGATTCAATTTTTTTTTCTGATACAATTTTTTTTTCTTACACTTATTTTATTTCTCCAATGACAATGTGGGGACGTGGGGTATGTGAGCGCGCTCACTAAGGTTCTTTAATTTAAAAAAGGTATTGAAACATCTCGGAACTTCAACATACAGAAAATTGTCCTTAATTTCAGTAAATATTGATTTATAAAACTATCAACTTAATTAAAGCAAAGGCAAAATAGAAGAGTAGAGTTGGTATGAAAACAATGTAAGAGAGCTGACTCCCTCTTTAATTTTCAATATTATAATTTTTCTATTTCAAATTTATAACCATCATTAAACAAGGAATTATTTGAATCTGGAATAGTTTTTAATTCTGGAAAATTAATAACAAATGTATGATGAAAACTAACTAACTAAATAGGGTTAGCCATGCAACCTTTACTAATATTTCAGAATGAATTAACTAACCCCCTTTAGCCATGCATTCATGGCTAACCCTCCTGAATTTGGTTAGTTTATATCATACATTTCTTATCAATTTTCCAGAATTCAAAATTATTCCAGATTCAAATAATTCCCTGTTATTAGGTCATTGATAGATAGTTTTCTCATTTACAATAATACCACCTCTTCTTTTTTTGTACATGTATTCAACATATCAAGTATTGCGGTCATAAAAAAATCATTCAGTTTTAATGTAATACATATTTTCATTGGCTACATTTTACTCTCAGACATGTTGTAGTAAATGAGTGAGCAGCCATATTTATGTCCCGAAACAACAATAAACAAATATTTGTTTTGTTGACATTAAATTGAAGCACAGAATAAAATTCTGTACCTGTATAAAAATGTATCGGAGATGAGTCCTTACGTATTTAAATTTTACTGTTATTTTAAACTGTTATTTTAAACTGTTATTTTAACTTTTCAGGTACAAGAATGTATAGAGTATTGCCATGGTAACATGTCAGCTATAGTCTCAACACCATGTAATATGAATTGTATCAACGAAAAACTTGTTGGAAGGTGAGTAAAGGTCTTTGAAAAGTTCGGTTTTGAAGATAGATTGGCTTATTCTTCAGTACAATTAGGTTAAAACTTCTGTACTCTAACCAAAGGTTCTCACTATAACAGGTGTCCATTTTGAGAGGTTTATCTGTGTTATTAGACAGGAGTTCAGTTAAGTTACGGTGTTATTGTGTTTTTAAGAGTATCATACTAGATAATGGCTGTTATCAGGGATTGTACTGAGCTTTAACATCTTTATTGAAGCTTCAATTTTTATTAGAAATTTTGCTTATTTAGATCATTTCGTTCAAGCCCATTAGTCAATTACCCTTAAAGACTGAAATGTAAAAATGTACACATCACACAAGTGATAATGTAATGGTTAGGGGTAAGCTGTAGGTTTATGTTAATTACCCTCATTTTCTACTTTCACATTTGTCGTCGTCAGTTTTCAACCATAAGACTTCATTTTATTCCACAAAGTTCTGTAAACTAATAGAGTTGAAATTTAGCGTAGCACAACAAATATGTGTATTTTTACCTAAAAAAGATCAGTTAAAAATTAGTGGACTTCTGCAATTATTTATACACAAGTTACATATTGTACTACTAACAAACGGAGATTTATAATATTATAGGATAGCTGATCTGTTTACACACAATGAAGCTGATGATATAAAAGACAGAAAAGATAAATTCAAAAGGTAGGTATGGCTTCTGTGTTGACATGAGATATCATTGATATACCAGTAGTCATATATATTAACAGTTTACAAAACTTTTAATGGTTGTAGTACAAAGGATTTTCTACCCCAGGAATAGAAGTATTTGGCAAAACCTTTCAGAATTTTGGGTCCACAATGTTCTTCAACATCGCACCTTATTTTGGCCTTTTAACTTTTTGATTCACGAGTCTCTGACGAAATGCATGTCTGCCTGCAAAAGTATAAGCCTGATATCTTCAATGAGTTTTTTTGTAAGGTAAACAAGAGTATGCTCTGAAAGTGAGTAGAATGGAGAAAGTAAAATTGGTTTGACAAAGCTAAAAGAAGACATCATTTGGGTACACATAGAGATTGCCATATTTTTCATTATGAGTGCTTAATAGTTTAAATTGATTGAAAAGATTACCTGATTTAGAGACTTTTATTAGATATAGATTATAGAGGATAAATTGTTCTCTGCATATGTTGAGTTGTATCTCATCTAGGAAGTTGACAAAATAATGGACTGACACGACTATTGTACCCCTTTGAAAAATAACAAAAATGGGAAGAAAACTATAAACCCAAAAGACAATGATAAAATAGCAATGCCTGATAGCAGAAAAAATAAATATTCAAAAATAAGAACCAAATTTAAATTGGAAGTTGAATAAGGAGCTTTAAAAATCTTTAAACGATATCCAATTTGAAGTGTTTAACAGTTAGAAATCTTAAAGGAGATAAAGATACCTAATGAAAATTTTACATAAGGCTTTATTTTCTGAATCTATGTGTACTATCATTTTGCTTCTTTGCAGTAAATTATTTGCTAAGAAGTTGGAGAAACTGTTTGATGCTAATTCTACAAATCCTGATTCTCCAGAATGTGCTGCTACATTGATGAGGTTAGTTTTTTGATAGATGCAGAGTGAACCTAAGGAGGAAAGTTTTATAATAGATGAAGGGTAAACCTCATGAGACAGCAACTTAATAACAAGTTAACAAAGCATATGCAGCAGTTCATAAAACTGTCACTGGTGATTTGCATTTTTTTTTTACAACATATGATCTAGATAGGCAAAGGAAGGGGAAGGGGGTTGAACACACATAAAACTGGTTTAATCCTTCTACATTTTTTATTCCTCTACCAAGGCCGGCTATCCTGACTATGTTTGTTGTTGTTTGTCTTGTTAAGACGTCTTTTTTTCTGAATGAGTCAGATATTTGTTGTTGGTGTGGTCTGTTGTACCGTCAGATATTTGTTGTTGGTGTGGTCTGTTGTACCGTCAGATATTTGTTGTTGGTGTGGTCTGTTGTACCGTCAGATATTTGTTGTTGGTGTGGTCTGTTGTACCGTCAGATATTTTTAGTAGTTTTTGTTATCCTATTTATGTATCACAAGTGATGTTTGGGTCCTGAAATTGTTGGAATGACACTTCAAGAAAATATGCTTCTTAACTGTTTTATATTAGAGTTTTTATTAAGTTAAAGGACTGTTCCAAAATTTATTGGGTTAGGGGTGGGTTGTACTGAAATTAATTAGATATGGGTGTAAGTATTTTCCTCATAGTTTTGTAAGATTTGTAAGTAAAATGCAAATTTTAATTTTATGGATGGTCGGGGTCTTAAAAAAGTGTGTTCCATGGCCCCCTTGCATTTAATTCTGGAACAACCCTTAGTGTATTTGAATTTATAGTGTGCTGATTTTATAATCATATATATTTTCAGATGTTCTGTTTGTAAGAAAGTCATGGGTGGTAGTCTTGAGAAGAAATTAAAATGTACACCTAGCAGGTAAAATTGATCAACTTGGAGAGATTTATTTATCTACTGTAAGATTATAATATAGTTACTCCTGCCCACATTGCAATCTCTTAACAATGGTAACTGTAACCTAGAAGTTCAGTTTGAATCATGACCAAACTTTGAAGGAATTTTTATTTTATCAAATGAATTTAATATATATTTACCATAAATTTAATTGTTGTTTTTTTTTTAACCCAATTAAGAAGTGTAACAATATTTTAAATATATTTAGCAAAAATAAAAGTAGGAAGAGATCATACCACATACCACATCTTCACTATTGGAATTGATGTATTGTATTTGATCTTTTTTCATGTTTACAATTTTTATCAATATTTGTAAGAATATCATTATGAATAACTACCTGTCAGGTAAGTTCATCTAGAAGATACTTAAGGCAAGATAGAAACACTTCCTGCCTGAAATCAAAAATTTCTCAAGTTTTCTTAGGCTGGATTTTAATAGATATAATTCATATATTTTTGAGCCATCATCGATGAAACTAATTAATTAAAAAAAAACCATGAAAATTTACAGATTAACTGTAGATAGGAGAGGAACATTAACATTTTGTCACATACGAGATCCATCTTTTGATGTTAATGAGTACCTATTGGAACTGAAAGGACAACTGAAGACCTGGCGAGAGGTTTACTGGAGAGTATGGGGGACCATCAATTATCTTATTTGTACACGATGTAAGGAGGTGTTCCCCTGCAGTGACCTCGGACATTGTAAATACCACCCTGAACCAGCAAGATATGATAATGAAGGATCCCTATATTCCTGTATCGGGACTTATCCATGTTGTCATCAGAGGGTATTAAGGTTTGATCCAACACAACAAAACAAGGTAATGTCCATGGTTCAAGCAGATTATATCCACGTTATTTAAAATCTGTTGGATAGTTGTCTAATCAACAATCATACCACATCTCCTCATTTTTATAATAGTGTATTATAGATATACTTTGGCAAGAAGATATGTCAGACATTTTATATTTAAGACTTAGTTTTGTAATATACATTCTTTGTGTGTGAAAAATTATGCTGGAATTATAGCTATATGTTGAATTTAAATTGATGCACTGTATTTTATCTTTTTTCATGATTATAATTTTTATAATTTTCTACAATATTTCCATTTCTTGTTGTATTTTTTTATAGCTTTAAATAGACAAATCTGTAATGAATGATCAATTTTGACTAAATATTGGAAAATAATATACAAAATAATTTTGAGTGTTTAAAGAGTATAACATGATAATATTTCAGGGATGTCGAGTTCGTGATCACATTGTGACTGTGTCTGATCTGCCGACAGAGGGTGATAAGCCTCCACAAAATGGGGTCTATGATGACCTACTTTCTCACCGAGATGTTATCTGTGTACCATACCAAAGACTGTCAGATGCCAGGTACAATCTAGGTGTCTTCTGGTTTGTCAGCGGGAAATGTCTCAAAATATTTTTTGAAAAAGAATCCATTTTTTTCTGAAGTTTGAGAGTTTAAGTTTCTGAAAGTATATAAGGGATATAAGTATGTTATCAGAAATAATTGAAATTGTGATGCCCTGATTTTAGCATGGACATTATTGCACTTGAGTTTAATGGCTTATGCACATTTTCTTGCTTCTTTAACCTCTGAATTTTGAGACATTTCCGTAGTTGTTCCTATATTTATTCTTAGTTTTTTTATTGGGTGGGTCTCTTCACTTTTGAATATGAGTTTGCCTTTGGTGAGATATTTTGAAACATATTTTATATCAAACAATGCAATAATACAATTTTAAAATTGGTTTTTATGTGTTACAGATTTTTTAATAGAGTATTAAATAAGAATAAGAAAAGAGTTCAAAGGCAAATTCTTAGGGGAAGGTGGTATTTTACTAAAATGGTGCCCTGTAGAGTTATCTGCCTTTAATTAGCTCTTCACTACTAACTTATACACATCTGCCTTTTTAAATGTAATTGAACTGTTGTGTTTGTCTTTTTTTTTTTTGACATTAGGTCATCTTCCATTTTGAAACATTTTGTTTAATTTGTTTAATTTTAGAAATGCACCAGACGTTAGGCAAACAACAATCAATCAATCAATTTTGTAAATATGTATTAGAGCTATTTTCCTAATGCTTGTAGTTTAAAGGTTTGGTTGGCGTGCTTGCTTTGTTTGTAGAAGTGTTTTCCCAAGCATTTTAATTAAGATTGACATCTGCAATCAATAGATAGGCATGGCTTCAGCTTGTATACATTATATCCTGCATTATACTTGACATCCAATAACATTTAAGTATCATGTATACAAGCTGAAGACCCGCCTATCTAATGATTGCAGGGCCCTCGGTCATAATACTTTACTCAATACTCGGAGTACAAAATATGTGCTCGAAACATCAAATCCAGTATTTTGATTGGTTGATTTCTGAGTCAGAGTACAAAAATCAGGCTCTAAAGTTTTATGACCGCAACGCCAGATGTCAATCTTAATTTCAATGCTTGAGCAAACATTTTTACAAACAAAGCAAGCAGGCCAACCAAACCTTTAAACTACAAGCATTAGGAAAATAGCTCTTATTGATATAGCATGCAGCTGTCAAATGATTAATGAAAATTATCATAAATAATTAAATAGGTTTTTAGCATATTTAAGTATTTTGTTAAATACTTATGTTTCATTTAGAGCAGTTTGAGATTTTCTATGAGAATAGAGTGACAATTTCGTATTTTTTTTATATCGTTTTGAAATCTTTAGATTGAATTTTTTTAGGTATTACAGAAGGTCAGTTTAAAACAACATAGATTTTGTAAACATTAATGGAAATATTTATATATAATATACATATATTATGTTCTAACCAATCCCCTGACAACCAAAGTGCATGTATTTCAAAGTAGAAAATTAGAGCAGAATTTCGTAAACAAGGAATTGCGAAGATGTAAATCATATGTAGGTAGCATTGCACATTACTTCTTTTTACATCCAATGTAGCTTTAATGAGATGCAGTTGAAAAATTCAGTAAACAAATAGATTCAGGGTTTTGAGGCATGTTTCTTATAAGAAAATACATCAATAATTGTGATGTTGCTTTTATAGCCGATATGCGTGAGTATCTTAGGAACTCCTCTATATAGTAAAGAAAAAAAAAGAATCTTTATAAACTGAATTTATAAAGACTAAAAGTTCTTCCTTCAAGCAATAAGAAAAAAATTCTATTTGTAGATCATATACCCATTCATAAAAGTATTTTGTAATTTCTTTAAAGTCGTAGAATTATGACATATTTATAGCATTTTTTAGTAGTTTTTTTCCCTTCATTTTATGACTGCTTTAAAACTTGCTATTAATTTTTGCTGATATATATTTTTTGTAATGGTTTGCTGCTTTGGTATTTCAATAAATTTTTGTATTACTAATAACATATCTATAAAATTATGTTTGCAAAGGCGTGGGAATATCTGATATATTGGTATTACCTACAGTTTAGAAAAAGTGTTTAATTTTGGTCTAAGAAATTGAAATGATGCTATTTTGAAAACATTATTGGAAGACAGGTAAGAAATCAATTAAAGGCAGATAGTAAAATCATGGTCAACATTTTTTTTTTATTGTAAACTCATTGCAAATCAGAATAAATATTTGGTAAGCAAAAAACAGTAGTAGTCATTCATAATTAACGTAAAATTTCAGCTGAGAATTTATGATGAATGATTTTGAGATGAAGAACAGCAATAAAAGTGCGGCTCGTTTGCTTTTGGTTTTGTCAAGTGTATATATATGAAGTGATTTTGTGTCATGAATGAATAAACAACATACTTTCTTTTCAATTTTATGAATTAGATTTCACAGAAAATATGCTTGTTTTTGTTTAAGCTTAAGTGGGGTCTGATCAAATTGTATCAAGTTAAAAAGAGATACAGTAATGTCTGGGACAAGGATATATATATATATAGTCAAATGCGTTTTGTTAAAATATACTTTTTCACTTTTTTGGTCTTTTGGAAAATGTTGTTTGTGCTGTATTTAGACCCCTCTACCAAGAAATTTGTTTTGCATGCACACGTAAAAAAATTGCGGTTTTTATCCAACGCAATCATAGGTTTGAACGTTGTTTTCAATTTAGATTTGTTTATATTTTTTCGTTTGGGCTTGTATTATATTTGCCTACGGGTTTATATGATCCGTTCATCCTATTTCGACTCTTTCAAAATTCAAGAGTCTATCCTATATTGAGGTAAATTATATGGCCTTCCAAATACCGTTTCGATTTCTAACATCACTGAAGAGACATTAATTGTCGAAATCCGGATATGGTGTACAAATTTTTGCACCTTATGTTTGCGGTATACCATCTTTTCCGCAAATTTATTGTTTTCTGTTTGGTAATAAATCAATTATAAGATCCATTTTGTTACAACTGGTGATCCGTTTATTTGGCAATCGCCAATGGCAGTCAGCAGGGTTTAAGAACATCAGTTGTTCGACCTGCTAGTCAAATGCGTTTTGTTAAAATATACTTTTTCACTTTTTTGGTCTTTTGGAAAATGTTGTTTGTGCTGTATTTAGACCCCTCTACCAAGAAATTTGTTTTGCATGCACATGTATAAAAATTGCGGTTTTTATCCAACGCAATCATAGGTTTGAACGTTGTTTTCAATTTAGATTTGTTTATATATATATACTGACTGATATATAAATTAAATTTTATATTTTTAATAAACTATGCAAGCATGTTTACATTTGATTTTAAACTAATGATAAAAAGTTCAAACTTTTAGATATTGAAATCTAGTAATGTAATTTCATAATCATTTCCAAAACAATCACTGTTCATGGAATTGGCCGTTAGTGGGAGAGATGGTGAACCAATAGCATCTATTCAGAATATGTCTTTTTTTATTGCTGTAAAATTATGTTAACTTTTGATTTAAAAGGATTAATCATTTAATAAAAGTCTTTTTTTAACTAAAACATACTTTTCAAAATAAATATATCAGCCGAAGAAATGAGGAGAAAAAAATCAATTAAATTGGATTTGCTGTAAACTGTACATAACTTCTCAGCAGACAGAAGTAACATTGATTATGAATGAGTACTGCAATCTTTTTATTTACTGCAACATTTATCATTATAATGTGTACTCTCTTCATGGGAATATTTTACAACTGTAAAATGAAGTCTTGTAGTGTAGAAATAAAAGCATGATATCCCATCTTTTCTGTTTCCCTGCATTTAGATTTTTTAAGCTTTTTCTGTAAGAATGTATCCTCTTTTTGAATATGTCATCAATATCACCTTACTTAAGTAAGTGTTAGGGACAACAGAAGTATTACCAATGTTCTTCATCCAGTTTTAAGGATAAAATTAACAACAACATTTAATAGGTATGACAATGCATTAAGATGAGTCCTACATCCCCTTAAAAGTATGCAAATGATATAGGATAGTATCAAAACAGTTTATACAATGCTTTTGATAATAGTTTACATCTTTCAGAGTTTAATGGCAAAATTGACTTTCAAAAGGCAAACTTATTAAAAAAAAACATGTACATTGATAAGTGTCATCTTTCATGTTACTGTTTATAAAAAATGTAATGTAATTTCCTGATAAAAATTCCTACATTGGACAGTTTGGCATATTTTACTTGAATTGAAAAAAAAAAATTTCTATTCAGTATAATTGTTGTTTAAATTTCTGTTGAGTACATTTGTTGTTTAAATTTCTTTTCAGTACATTTGTTTTTTTAAATTTCATTTGAGTACATTTGTTGTTTATATTTCTATTGAGTACATCTGTTGTTTAAATTTCTGTTGAGTACATTTGTTGCTTAAATTTCTGTTGAGTACATTTGTTGTTTAAATTTCTGTTGAGTACACTTGTTGTTTAAATTTCTGTTGAATATATTTGTTGTTTTAATTTCTGTTGAGTACATTTGTTGTTTAGATTTCTGTTGAGTACATTTGTTGTTTTAATTATTGTTGATTACATTTGTTGTTCGAATTTCTGTTGAGTACATACATTTACAATGATAAATGCTGTAGTAAATAAAACCAGCCTGACACTACAGTCTTTGTGTGGATATAGATATGTTATCTGTGTGTGGACATTATAAAATCAATCCACGTTGAAATGTCTTCATGTGGATTAATCCTTATGGATATGTTGCCTTTATGTCAACATAATCTAATCCCTATGGGATTACTGTCTCTATATGTAGCATGGTATTGTCTCTGTGGACATGAAAGAACAGTTATCAATGAGGATATGTGGACTACAACTTGAACTTTGGTGGATAGTTGTCTCATTGGCAATCATACCTCATCTCCTTATTTGTATATGGTTATGGTAATACAATTAGGAGCATATTGCATAATACTAAACCAAAATGGCATTTAATACCAAATCACAACTCATTTTTTTCAGATCCATCTTTTTGTAATTTCATTATTAAGTTATATTGTTTTGTAAAAATAAGAAATAAGCGTGTATGTATTGATTCAGACATCCAAAACTTTTAATAAATACGGAAATTCAGTAAATGAGAAGAGATTAGAAATAAGGGCATTGGTGCTCTTACAATCCACCATTGCTTACCGTAGCCTAATATTTTCAGTTTATAGTTTTGGGACAGATAACTATTTTAAGAGAGAAATAGACAGACTGATAGACTGACAAACCTATATCAAACATCACAGAAAATGCAGGAGAAAAAAATGATGAATCAAATGGAAGCAGATATTAAAGTAGTTGTGAATATATCTTTACTGTTTTGTTATAAGTTGACAGTTACAACCAAACACCAGCAAATCCTTACAACACTAAAAAGATGTTTTATGATTATTTGTATTACAAACACACACAGAAGGATGAAATACAGGGGATATTTTTAAGGAAAACTTCACCAAGAAGTAAAATTATATAATTTCTGAATATTTTTGTTTAGTTATACAGCATTAATGTGATTTAGTCTTTCAAAGATAGATGTTGAATTATGCTTATATCTATCTATATATATATCTATATATAATGTTAATGCTACCTAGAATTTCAACAATAATACCAGATAAAAAATACAAAAGTCATACATATGAAAACGATTCTATATTTTACAGCTTTGGGTAAGTGTACACAGCCTTTATTAAAGCTTACATGTAAAAACAGTAGCATTTATATAGCAAAATTTTATATTTGTTCAGTTCAATCTGAATTTCTACTAGTGACAAAGAATTACAGCAGCTTATGACACAGCAGAACTGCTTTTTATGTGTACAAAAAATCAGCTATTTCTATAGGTTATTGTGAATATGTGCAAAGTGTATTTTTTTCCTTTTCTCATCTTAATAAAACAGGATGTATGGCTATCGGTAGGTGCTCACACCAAGTCCTTCAAACACACTTCCCTCTTGTTGTTTCTAATAGACCAAGATTACTATAGAAATATGTTCAATAATTACAGAGCAATATCATATTTTAGCTTGTCTCTTCATAGGAACCAGCTGAATATAAAATGCTGGACTTTAGACTTTAGAGGTTTGCCCTGGGCTTCCATTCTGCTTTTCACAAAAGGTTGTAGGGCTTATGACCAGTTGTAAATCTTTTAAAACTTTACAAATTACTTAGGTCGTTAATTCTACAAATTGTAATTAAATGCAAGTCTGGTATATCTATCATTGGTAACACAGTTAATAAAGTTTTGACCTTTTATCATTCTATTTACTCGTAATTTTTTTTCACACATTGCTGTTCTATGGACATTTATATTTGTATTCCTTGCACAGCATTATTTATGCACATGCCTTTTGCATTATCTTTTTATTATTTGACCAAATTGATTTTTTAGAAGTTTTCTTTTTCATTTCTTTACCCCTGGTTATAGGTTTTTCCTCTAAAAAGTAATAACTTTTGCGACAGGACCTTCATTTTTACACTCTGAACATTACATCATAATTAAGATTTCCTTTCATATCTGTATCTCAGAAATTATACATGATAGCGACATAAGTACATATGTATCTGATAGGCTTCATTTGAATTTGACCTTAGTTACCAGTTCATTGACCTTTAGAATAATTCAAGTATTGCAGCAGATGAGACATTTTAGTGTGTTATTTTTACTATTTAGTTTACTTGAGTTAATTATTTTCATGATAAAGATTTTTTTTGTTGACTTTACAATTTTCAAAGCACATATGCTTATTTGCTAAAATATATACTCACATTCTGAAATTGCAGTTATTAGCTAAATTCTGTTTTTTAGATTATTGTCTAGAACATTTAAGTTGGTCTTTTTCTTTATTCAAACCATTGTTTCGTGCTATGGAAATAGAGTTGATTTCTCATCTTATTATTTCACTAGGTGAATATTTTCAATAACTAATAAAAATTTTAATAATCTGGGTTATTTCCAGTACAGTTCCTGTTTTATTTTCCTCTGGAAACCTCTTCAGCCTCACATTTCATAACATAAAAAAAAAACCATTGAAGACAATGAAATACATCAAATGTTTAGTTAGCTGTATTATATAACAACTTGTATTATATAACAACATTAATTATGTGTTATTAATTGATGTATTCTAACAGTGAAATGGAGTTTAAATTATTTGATAATGAAGAGTTTGTATGCTACTCGCACAAAGACGGAACAGCTATTCACCCTGCACTACTGGCTGCTGTTGATGATGACAAAAAACCTGAGGTAATAAGAATATATCTACATTAAAAGGTTTGGTTCAAAGGGCATTAGCTTCCATTTAAACAAAAAAATGAAATACAATTGTTTTTGTTTCAAACAGTTATAAAAGCGGAATAATGATATACTATTTCACTATTAGCCATCAGTTTGGTTCAATTTGGTCAAAATAAGATCGAAAACATCCCAAATGTATTATTAACTTGCAAGTGAATAATTCAACCTCAGATGAATCCGTATTCATGTAATCCTAACTTGACCTAAAGCTGAAGATGGGTAACGCATGCCCTAAGCGTGTTCAGTTATTAAAAAGAAAAGAATGTCAACATTGAAAAGCAAAACAAGGGATCCATAATAAACAAAACATTTCTTTGGCCAATTCAGACCACAAGAAATCATTAATAATCCAAGTAAAACCATGATTTTTTATCTTTGACATGAATTCAAACAGACCTGGAAAAATTGTAATTACACATCTTCATGTGCTTCTCAGTCTATTTATATTTATGTTTATATGGGGTCGAATGACTGTTGGCAGTCTTTAGAGGTAATCTCGATGGTTAATTAGATGGCGCCTAGCCTAAAAACACATGAAATGCTAATACATTATATCGAGTCTGTGCATTCTTGATTGTTTCTTTTGAACTTTTTGTAATTTGGATTTAGGTTTTGGTATGTTATGAATCAAATATGAGAATTTTTAAAAGTCAAGTGGGTGATCCTAAATTTGACAGCTTATGCCCCTTTAAGTATGTATATCCCAAAGATTAGGATGGCCACCACAAAATATATTGAAACAAGCAGTTTAATATCTGTTTACACAACAAGGAGTCAAAAAAAAAAAAAAGATATGCAAAAGCAGTGAAAGCGCTAGTAAATGTGATGAATTGAAACTTATTATCTTTTATTAATTTTATCATATGTTACCAACATACAGTTTCTACTGAACTTTTCTTCATATACAGTCGAACCTCGTTGTGTCGAACTCGCTTGTGTAATTTCTCGGTCCCGGTAAAATTCCTGTTTGATCAATGCATAATTACCTCTGATGAGTCGAACTCGGTTGATTCGAATACTCGGTTAAGTCGATGTAAATTTTATAGTCCCGTCGAAGTAAAAGTAATGTAAATTGACCACGATGTCTCGAAGTTCGAAAGTAAGAATTTTCGAAAATGCAGACCTAATGATAAAAATTCAAATTGGATGTATTTCTTATGTCACTTAATCATTTTCAAAAGAGCTTAAAGCTGAGTAAACATACGTCAGCTTGTTTGTATAACAGTTAAAATGACATGTTTATGGTGACCGCTAATTACGCCTTTTTTTATCGTTCAAGCGGGAATGTTAGTGTGTTGAACATTTTTCACCTAAAATAAAACCAAAACGAATTTAAATGACCCAAGCCCAGATTTAAGAATTTAAACTCACTTATTACAATAAATAAAAGGATTATGACAATTATAATAAATTCATGATTTAATGTAAAGCAGACGACCTCATCAGAGACCGTTCAGAACTTATTTCGTGCCGCGAGTGATTTCATAATTTAAAGTGACTGACCTTTGTAAATATTTGTGTAGACTATTGATTTTATTTGTGCATGATTTGTACCTATCTGTACTTGTGTGTTTAATTATTACGAAGGACCAAACATGGAGATTGAATACACAATCAAAAAGTGTTATATCGAAAAAAAGGCACACCGTTCATTGTATCTAGTTTGCACAAATCTCATACCGTATTTCATGCATTCCAAATGTATGACGACACACTTGACCTCGGATGAGTCGAACCTCGGATGAGTAGAATACTTTGGTACGGTCCCTTCGACTTCGACACAACGAGGTTCGACTGTATATATTTATATTTTTAGTGATAATTTTACTGATAACATTCTTCTTAAGACCCATTATATGCTTTATCCTTTCCATCATAGAATATATTCAAATAGATTTGGTACAAATTCATTCAGTGCAATAAAAGAACATCATCATAATTGCTAGTTTATTTTATATATAAGGGTAGATAACTCCTTTTCCACTAAAAACATGTTGAGAATATAAGCATATTTGTATTCTGACAGGCTGGAAAACCTCAACCAAGATTACAGGCTCTTACTATGGAGAGAGAATTATCATTTGAATATGATGATGTTGGTCTAGGAGAGAGTGATGATGAAGTAGGAGACGATGAACAACCAAGGGGGACAGGTAAGTAATGGTTAGGGACCAGGGCCTTACTATGGTGAGAACATCGAAAAACAATCAAGGGGAATTGGTAAGAATAAGTAATGGATTAGTTTCCAGGTCCTTACTTTGGTGAGAAATGGATAAACAACAAGAGGGACAGAATATATAATTGACCAGGATCTAGGTCCTTACTATAAAGGAGAAGAAAGAAACAACTGGTGGGGGGATTAGGAAAAGTAATGAACCTGGATCAAGGCCCTTACTCATGATAGAATTTGATGCACATCCACGGGGGACAATTATGAAAATTAAAGAGCTAGAGCCTAGACCCTTCCCATAGTGAGAAAATTGATGAAACCCAAGGTAAAATGGGAGATGGGATATGCTTGGATTTACAGTGGAGTAATGATTAACCAAGGGGCAGAGTGTATGAATATGTGCAGGAATTTTCTATGGAAAAGAAGATTGATAACCAAGGGGCAGAGTGCATGAATATGTGCAGGATTTTTCTAAGGAAAAGAAGATTTATAACCAAGGGGATGAGTGCATGAAGATGTGCAGGATTTTTCGAAGGAAAATAAGATTTATAACCAAGGGGTACCGGTACAGATAAGGATATCTCAAGGTATAGAGATAAGGATATATGGGGCTTAAAGAGGCTTGAATACACATCCATTATAATGAACAGATTGACAATCTAAAAATACAGATAAAGACAAACATGATATTCTTGAAGAATAATAATATGGAATATTGTTCATCCACCTTCCTGTGAAACTGTAGTGAAACTTAGACATAACTTATATTATCGTCATTTACCTCACAAATCGTTATTCAATAACTCCTTGAAAATGGCTTGACAGAATTAATCCAAACTTCCACAGATTCTTTAACAGTAGATGATGTTGTGCCCCTGCTATTCTTATTTTAGATTTTTTGGGGTTTTTTTTGCATGAATATTCACCTCTTACAAAAGTGTGTTTAAATTTGGTTAGAAGTTCAGTACTTTTACTGCTGGGCTGCAATTGCATATATCTCTACTTAGATGTTTAATTTGAATAAAGATAACTTTGGACTAATGTATAATTGTAGTGTTTTGTTTTTCAGCCCGTAGATCTAGAGGCATTAAGAAGTCTATGGTTACAATAGATCCACAGGCAATTTTAATGGATGCCCCAGAATTTGAGTATGTTCATAAAAGTATTTAATAGAAAATGAGATTCAGCAACATTATATTTTCAGTAAAAAGTCACTGTTTGTCTTCTGATAAGTATAACAAGAATATAAACACTTTAAATTATTTCTTCTAGAAGGGTAATAGATTGAACTCTAAAACAAAATGCAGATTTTGAAAAAGATGATAATAATCTTTATAACAGAATACCTCAGCTGCTCCATTTTTACATTTCAGACAAACAAAGAAATCCACCTGGGATACAGGCAGATCAATGAGATATAATCAAGATGCACAGAGACAGGAAGGTATTGTCAAGAAAAAAATAAAAAATTAAATCAAAAAATAAAAACACCCAACTAAACAAAAAACAAAACCATATACAAGTAAAGACACAATAAATTTTGCATTGATATCAGAAGATTATATTTGCATACTGTAAATTCAGAAATTACTGCGATCTTTGAAGAATGGACAAAAATGCGAGATTAATTATTGCAATTTCAAGAAAATCTGCATACAGATATATGTATAAGATATCAGAATGCGAGTTCTTATTATTGCAATACTCACCTTATTCACATTAATAAAAACCTCACAATAATTTCTGAATTTACAGTATTCATTTCACAATGAATGGACACAATTTTGAATTAGGATTTAAATTTTTTTTTAAATTTTAGGACCAAATTGCATGACTTATCATACATTATCTTATTACATCTTGCACAGTGTTGTTGAAATGGAAGTCATCTAACATAATGTAAACTGTAAAAAAATACTCTGTTTTTGTTATTTCAGATCAAAGAAGGATGAAAGAGATCAGGGTTTATTTGACAAAGTTAAGATTGAATCCAGAGAAAATTGATAAGCCTAAAAAGGAGGTTTGTAAATCCATGAGAAAATTAGATTTACTAGAAAAAAATTGGAAATTTGGTTTTCTAATTTGTTTTATTTCTATCTTGGTACTCCAGTTTTATCCACCAATTAAAACTGTTTGCCATGATATAGCCAAAAGTGCTGAAAGTGGTGTTAAATACCAACAATCAATCAATCTTTTTTGTAGTGATGATCAAGAGGAGATCAAAATTATACCCCACTCAGAAAGGAAGGGGTATACTGGTTTACATCTGTCTGTCATTCTGCTGGTTCTTCGTCCATACCTGCCAATAAAATTTTGCTTACACTTTGCTTAGGAGCTACAAATCACAGCTTCCTGAAATTTGACAATATTATATATACATTGTATTTCACAATAAACATATCAATTAATTCTGGAAATAAAGTGTATTAGCAACTGAATTGATATAATAGTATATAAGTTGATAAAGGGTAATCTTTAAAGGTGTATTAGCTGTCAAGTTTATGTTCACTGATTTGATTCAAATTCTCATATTTGATTTATATCATACTTAAATGTTTATTCAAATTACAAAAAATCCAAAAGAAACATATAATAATGCTTTTAATTGCATGGATTCGTTATAATGTATCAGTATTTAGTACATATTTTAGAATAGATGCCAGCTTATTATCTATTGTGATGATCTCCCAAGACTGCCAACAGTCATTTACCCAGAAAAAAAACATAATGTAAATGCTATCGTATATGATGATTTTTCATGTTAGATATCATGATACATAAAAAAAAAAAAAAATGTATATCATCATTTTACCTGTTAAAGAATGATTTTTTTGTGGGCCAGAGTCACTGAGATGCATATTGAATGATGTTATTATGTTGTAGTTTTTGGGAGGACAATTTTGTAAAATTGAATCACAGTGGAGAGCCAATAACTTACAGAATGGGAACAAACCAGGCATTGGAACATTTAGGTATGTTTTATAGGTATTATAACATCATGAGTGCTATCATGTGATTGTCATGTGATTGTATGCCAATGTTTTTTTAGAGGGTAATGAACAATACTGTAAATTCAGAAATTATTGCATGCATTTATTATTGCAATTTTTTAAAAATGGACAAAATTGCAAGATTAATTGTTGTGATTTCAAGACATCTGCATACAGATATATGTATCAGATATCTGAATGTGAGTTCTTTTTATTCCGATACTCACCCAGACGCATTATTCTCAATAATTTCTGAATTTACAGTTCATATTATGTTTTGCTGTTAAGACATGGTCTTTTAAAAAATAAGCACTTTCTTTCAAAGGTATGTATCATATATATCATAGTTACATTGCAATATCATGCTTTTCTGTTTTATACTACCATGCATGAATACAAATGTTAAGGTTTATACACAAACATTACACATTTACTTTGACTTATTATTTTATTAAATGTTTCATATTAGAGTGTTGTGGTGGCTATTCATAAATATATTTTTAAGTGTTATCAAAGATGGTAAATGTCCAAAAAAAAAAAACTGTTTCATATGAATTTTTCTAAAATGAATTTTTCATGAATATGCAACAATTTATTGAAGAAATAGATTACAAACGAATTGCTTTGTATGTTTTCAGTCAAACTTTTGCATGTGTTCATAAATTATCTTGTTATTTGGCAGTTCAGTCTACACTAGAGAAATAGCTATTTTAACATATGTTAGGTATTGAAACAAGTATTGCTCAGAACTTACTTATGGTGAAAATACCTGAGATTTGACCATATGAGCAATATCGTTCTTAACTCATGATTTTTTTTTATGAAACAGCCTTTCTTAAATTTGAAATAGAATTGACCAGTAGACATGCCAATAGAAAATGGTTTCTTAAACTTTTTTTTCTGATGTTCATTTGTTTGGAGTAATATTTAAAAAAAAATTCTATGTTGTTTGTCAAAAGATGTCTTTTTCATGTTGAATGATATATCATCTACTAACAGTGTTTAAAGTTTTGTAATCATATGTCAAGGTGGATTGAGGTGGGGAAAGTTTTAGAATTTTCCCGTTTTCATCCGTTATAGTTGTAATAAAAAGTGGCATTTTTTAGTGCAAGGTCTTCATAGCCAGTCAAGGTCATTAAACACTTCTGTAGTAGTATCAGGGAAAAGGTCTACTGCTATGGTTGTGATGTTCTTTGTTACTGGTAACCATATGAAAAATTTGAAACAAAGAATGAAAAAATGGATGTCTTTATTATTTTAAAATTCACTGAAAAGGGGATAAAGATACAGTCATAAGTCAATAAATAGTCATTTGATATTTTTATGCAGATAGCTATTTATAAACACCATCCATCTATTCCTTTTTGAATTTTTGAAAATTAAGCTTCGATGCAAGAAAATGAATTAACACTTCCATGAGTTTTGGTAAAGATTAAAGAAATCAGATATTTTTATATGTATTTTTGTTGTTGTTGTTGAAACTTGAATACTACAGTAAACATTGAATAAACAGTTATTGTTTTAATATGCATTTATGTAATTTTTTTTCTTCTGTAGTTACAGCTTGTAAACAATATACTCTTAAATGAATGCAGAATTGTTTAAATGTAGAGAATGAATTATTTACGTTTGCTTTATCCGGAGAAAAGTATTTAGATAAATTGGTAGCTCTATAGTTCATACGTTGTTAACTTGTTATGAAAATATAATATTTATGTGTTTTAAAAATACCTATCAGAATATTATTCGGTATGATTGCTTCACTTAGCGGTAGACATATTTTTGGTGGTGTGCGACATGAAAAATCACACATGTATTATGTTCATGCATTGTTACAAAAATATAACATTTAATGTGTTTTTAAAATACCTATCAGAATATTATTAGCTATAATTGCTTCACTTAGGGGTAGACCTATTGTTGGTGGTGTGCGACGGGAAAAATCACACATGTATTGATGTCGTCAAGGTTTGATGTTTTATTTTTAGCATGCACATATCACCTGCATGTAGCTTTTATCCTTTGTGGTGAATGTTTACAATGCCAACCCCAAACAATAAACGGGAAATGTAGATAAATTTTGTTTGGTGTCAGTAAATAACTAATAGTAAATTACACTTATGTTATATTATCTAATGTGGATTGAGAAAAATGTTCTTTCATGATTTTGAAATACAAGTTTGCTTACAAGCCTAGTGAACATTTGTGCTATGTTGAACATTCAAATTCCTGACTCACCTTTACCCACGAAATCCAGGAAAAATTTGTATCCCACAAATAGTAATGAATCTACAGTATCTAGAATAATAAGCATCCTCCCAGTCCATTAAACAAAAATTATAAATATATGCATACATTTACTTAGTCATCTAAGTATTAAATTTTATGTTTTTTTGATAGTTTAATTACAAAGTTTCAAAAAGTCCTCATTACCAATCCAGCATTAAATTGATTTTTTGGCTTTTTTAAAACAGTTAGAAAGTTTCTCAAACTTTTATTTCATGAATCTCAGAAATTATCAGAGAATATGATGTATCTTCAAATTAACTTTTGTGATACAATTATATTTTATAAAAAAATATTTACCATATAAAAATTACTCTCCGTTTGCTTTTGGAGTAGATTACTTATTGAACAACAGATAACAACATTAAATATATGACCAGACAGTTAAAGATCCACATTAGTAGTCAAGATTTTTAACATCCTGTAGTACATGTATGATTTTTTGTAGGTAATAATTTTAGCATTAAAGGGGTTGGCAAACTTTAACTATTTTCACTATTTATTAATGCACATTTTATTCCAGGTATTCACTGCTATAAACTCTGCCAAATGTACTCTCACTTTTTTCAAATTTAATCTGTTTCAAAACATTTCATCCTGAATGTGTGCCTTTATGTGTACCACCATGTAAAACTAAATTTAACTTGCATGAAAGCCATGTGTTTACGTGTATCAATTAATTGTCTCTTTGTATTGTCTATACTAAATTCTGATTCTATTAAAGCTTTGGCTTATTGCCACAAAAATGTATATCTATGTTTTCATGTAGGAAGAGTATTGTTTGAAGAAGTATTACAAAAAACCAGAAAATTATATGCCTAATCTTTTCACATAGAATTTCTTACTTTATGAAGCCATGTTTGTAATGTTAACATCATTTTATCATAGAATTTTGATTTTGAATTTTTAAAAAGGAAAAAAATATAAAAATTAGGAGATGTGGTATGATTGCCTATGAGATAACTATCCACCCAAGTTCAAATGAAGTTGAAGTAAGCAATTATAGGCAACCATACGGCCTTCAACAATGAGAAAAACCCATACCGTATAGTCGGTTATGAAAGGCCCCGACATGAAAAATATGAAATAATTCAATTGAGAAAACTAACAGCCTAATTTATAACAAAACAATTTACGAAAATTCAAATATTACAGACATGAACCAATGACAACCACTGAACTACAGGCTCCTGACTTGGGCTGGCACATAAAGAATGTGGCATGGTTAAACATGTGTGTGAGGCGTCAACCCTCCCCCTAACCTGGGACAGTGGTATAACAGCACAACATAAGAAACTATAAAAATCAGTTGAAAAGGGCTTAACTCATTAGATCAATACAAAGCAGAAACACATCTAACAAAAACACAGACCCGACGTGGCAGGAGTTTGTTCATGAAATTTTTAGAATTATTGTGTATAATAGTAGTTCATAGTTTGCAATTTTTTGAATAATTACAGTCTAAATGTAATAACAATGCAATATCTTGGGATACAAATATGATTGATTAAGGATTTGAATAGATTATAAATGTGGAATATGAATCATATGTATTGGTGTCTACCAGTAGTCTAATACTTGGTACCCCTTACTACCAGATTAACAAGAACATAGAATTATGGAAGACCCAGAACCAAAAAAAATATACCATAATTATCCAGATATGAATAAATGGAGATATGGGGAATACATCAATTGACATGGCAATTAAATTGCAGAAATACAACCAAAAATGATACTGTAAATTCATAAATTATTGCGATTTGTGAAGAATGGACAACAACGAAAGATTAATTATTGCGATTTCAGAAAAATCTGCATTCATTTATATGTATCAAGTATCACAATGTGAGTTCTTATTATTGCGATACTCATCTAATTGCATTATTCACATTAATAAAACCCTCACAATAATTTGTGAATTTACAGTAATCAAAAGCTGTAGTTATTTGTTCTAAAATTTAAAAGATATCAGTATGGTTGTGATCTTAGTGTTAACTTGTAGACTTAAGATTTTTTACATCCTAAAATTTAATGTAATGATATATGTAATGTGGAAAAACTTAAAGATACTTATTACAGAATTACATTGGATTTATTGCCATAAAGTGCAAGTACTTTTTATCTACAGCACATAAAGGTGCCTTTAAAGATTTAGTTCATGACAATCAATACAAAGTAATTAATTGTGTTGTCAGAAATCAACTGTAAAACTTACCAGAAGAAAACAAAAAAGGTTTGATAGATGTCATAGTATATTTCTTCACCAAATAATTTTTATTTCTTCAAGTATAATTTTGAAGTATAGTTGTGAGAGAAGACACACAATTATTGACATAATACAGATGCTATGTGAAAAGATTGATGAGTTGTAAAACATGTTTCTCTGTGTATATTTTCAGGGCAAAACCAATGAGGTTTTCATCCCTGAGGTCATCCATGTCTTGATCAACAGTATTAAAGTCACCCAGTACAATAACATGGATGTTAACACTAGAAACATTGGACAAAGTCTTGCCACTGTTGACATTTAAGCATTTAAGACTTTTTATTCCCTGATAATGCATTTAATGCAAGAAATCATTTTAGCAGACGACAGGTGCACAGGACATTTTGCAAATATGCTGCATGTATTACTCGGAATAATTTGCATTTTAATTAGAAATGAATTAATATTTTTTATGATTTTTAATGTTTTGAAAATGTGTGAAATAGAAAATCTCACAATGAAAATTATCTCACTGCACAAAAATAAGTTTTTATTCTTGCAAAAAAATACATATGAAGAAATACTTGTATTCCTGGTACTGAGAAAATTTAATATTATATTTGCTGGTTATTTACTATATTGTGGGAACAAGTTGTGAGGAATTTATTATCTCTCATTTTGTGATAAGAGAGAAAATATTACCTCCTGTAAATTTGAAGTATTATCCTAATAGGTGAATTGGTCTAACATATTGAGGTATTTTATTGAGTTCTGTTTTGAGTCTTGAAACCAAATATTTGGATAAACTTTCTTTTTGAAGATTCTATAGATTGTCTTATTTTTTTCTAAAGTTGATAACATTATTGATTACCGGTATTATGAATTTGAAAATATGAAAAAGATTAAAAAGTATAGGAAACCCTAGTCATCTGATGACTTGTCCAAATACATCTTAAATCTATGTTGCCTTCCTGAGTTTTCATTTTACCTGGTACACAAATCACTTGTAGCTGAATGGCATCATGGATGTTTTTTTAATATATTTGATCAAAATATTATTGAAGTTAACACATTAATTTTTGCTTTCATGTCATGGGGTTTTGTGTTTGGGTTTCTTATTGACAATTTCACAACATCTGTTTATTTTATGAAGATAGGAAAATGGTCATTATCAGTTCATTTGAAATAACCAAACCAGTACATAGAAGGACTTTTTTTCCATATATCAGTCCGGATTGGGTCTTTATTTTTGCAATAGTTTAAGATTTTCTAATCTCTGGAATTCATAATTAATTTTTCTGGATATGGGAAGTAATGCGCTATTTTTTCCAGGAATTCGGGATGACCCCCCCCTGCTACCATGCCGTGACACAGGCTAGCTTTAATTGTAAAAAAAATTTTCTGTGTTTCATTGTCTTAACCAACCTATTATGCAACTGTAGACACATGTGTTATTTAAGTATGATTTATTTTTTAACTTTTGTTGTTATTTATTTTCTGTGTTACACTGTTTAATGAACAAAGGTGTGATAGTGCATTGAACATTATTTTATGAAAATTTTTACACAAAATCCTAACAAAGGGCAAGTAGGTATACCATAACAATTTTAATTTACTATTCATGTATTCTTTTATTTGATTTTAAGCAGTCTATGTGATTTATTTATGATTAAAGGTAATTAATGACAAGATTTTGAGTTTCTTTAATGGTTACAAAGAAGAGTATGGATGTTATTCAGTGCCTACGGTCATACAAGAGTGCACACATGTCTTAAAGATAAAGGTTTTACTACAAGTACCACATAAACCTAAAATGTTTAAAGATCCATGACAATGAGGTCAAGGTCAGATAAATCCTGTCAGACAGACGTGTATACCTTACAATTATTTCATACACCAAATATAGTTGACCTATTGCTTATGGTAATTGAAAAACAGACCAAAACAAAAAAACTTAACATTGACCAATGAACCATGGAAATGGGGTCAAGGTCAGATGATAACTGCCAGACAGACATGAATACCTTAAAATCATTCCAAACACCAAATATAGTTGTCCTTTTGCTTATAGTATCTGAGATACGGACTTGACCACATAACTTTAACCTTGATCACTGTGTGATCCATAAAATGAGGTCTCAAGATATTATAAGCAATAGTTCAATTATGTAAGGGGTATGGAACAATTGTAAAGTGTACATGTCTGTCTGGCAGGGTTCATATGACCTTGACCTCATTTTCATGGTTCATGGGTCAATGATAAATTTTCATAATTTTGTCAGTTTATCAGATGCTTTAACCAATAGGTCAACCATATATGGTGTATGAATGATTGTAAGGTCTATTTGGCATGGTTCATCAAACATTGCTATTAGTACCCGAGAAACAGATCAAACAACAGAATCTTAACATTGACCAATAAACCATAAAATGAGGTCATATGAACCCTGCAAGACCGACATGTACACCTTACAATCATTACATACACCAAATATAGTAGACCTATTGCTTAAAATATTTGAGATATGGACTTGCCCATGAAAACTTAACCTTGTTCACTGATCCATGAAATGAGACAAAGGTCAAGTGAAAACTGTCTGACAGGCATGAGGACCTTGCAAGGTACATGCATACAATATGTAGTTATCCTATTACTCATTATAAGATAGAAATTAACATTACAAAAAATCGTAACTTTTTTTTCAAGTGGTATATAACACTACAGGGAGATAACTCTGTAAAAATCAGCTGAACGTTTTAATCACGTTCTATTGTTAAGGAAATATTAAGCTTCTCAATGATCAAAATTAGTGTTTGTCAAACTGCTATGTATCCAATGAAATTTTTCCAATAAAGTGTGTGGTTCAAGTTTATTGAAATTTTTATAATTTTGTCAAAGGATCAAAGTAAATATTTTGTCAAAATTTTATGAAAATTAAACAAGCCAAATTATGAAAATGAGGTCAAGGACAACGAAGATATGACAGACATAAGGCATCAATATACAAAGTATGAAGCATCCAGGTCTTCTACCATCTGAAGTATTAAGCTTTTAAGTGATCAGTTAACGCCACCACCACAGCCACTGGATCATTATCCCTATGTCTCGCTTTCTTTGACAGAAGTTGCAGGCGAGACAATAAAATGAGGTTTATAAGGATATGTGAACCCTATCAGAAACATACCGGCACGCCTAACTATCATTCTATACACCAAATATCATATGACCTATCATTTATAATGTACTGTGGATTCATTATTATTCGTTGGATACCAATTGTTGTGGATTTCGTTGCTACAGGTGAACTACGAATTTAAATGTTCAACGAATTACAAGTTTTCTGAAGGAATGTATACAGACTTAACCAAAACAACGAAATGAAGTATCCACAAAAATTGGTACCCACGAAAATTTATGAATCCAAAGTATGAGTTGTCCTAATCTGACATTGATCACCAAACCAAAAAATGAGGTCAAGGTCAGGGAAACCCTGTCTGAAGGACATGTATATCTTGTAATGATTCTATTATATACCAATAATATTTGTCCTATTACTCAAAATAATTGAGGGACCTAAGTGGCCGAGTGGTCTAAGTAGTTGAACTAATGTATAACTGGCCTGTCAACACTGAGGTTGTGAGTTTGAATCCAGCATGTGGCAGGTGTGTTCAACTTCAATCTTAATTGACTAGGATTGTCAGTTTTCCTACTGAAGGTAGGTGATTCTCTCCAGGCACTCGGGCTTCCTCCACCAAAAAAAAATTCGTAAGGGTTCCGCGGAACCCAGTGTCTCGCCTACTTTTGGTGTTAATCGCAGGCTCAACAAAAATGAAGAAAAAAATTAATAAAAATATTCCCCTCTATACTATGTTTTGATAGTAAGTAGCTTCTGTCCAAGTTTGGTAAAAATCCAGGATAAATTATGAATCTAATAAATGTTTTAAAAACTTAAACTGCAGAATGTATGTAATGTTGACTGGAAGAAAAACTAAGTCCATTTATAAGTAAAATACAGAAAAAATGGAACAAAATTTTATCAAAATTTCCTTCTAGATACTAGCTTTTGATCATAAACAAGCTTCTGTCCAAGCGTGGTACAAATCCAGGATAGTTTAAGAAAGTTGTTAAAATTTTAAAAACTTTAACCACAGAGTGAATGTAATGTTAACTGGCAGAAAAACTAAGTCCATTTATAAGTAAAATACGGAAAAATGGAATTTTTTTTTTACAAAATTTACTTCTGGATACTATCTTATGATCATAAACAAGCTTCTTTCCAAGTTTGGTAGAAATCTAGGATAGTTTAAGAAAGTTATTGAAATTTTAAAAACTTTAACCACAGAGTGAATGCAATGTTAACTGGCAGAAAAACTAAGTCCACTTATAAGTAAAATATGGAAAAAATGGAATTTTTTTTTTACAAAATTTACTTTTGAATATAATCTTATGATCATAAACAAGCTTCTGTCCATGTTTGGTAGAAATCCAGGATAGTTTAAGAAAGTTATTAAAATTTCAAAAACTTTAACCACAGAGTGAATATTTGTGGACGCCGCCGACGACGACGACGCCGACGGAATGTAGGATCGCTATGTCTCGCTTTTTCGACAAAAGTCGAAAGCTCGACAAAAATGATCGCCACGAAATACCACAATAGTGCTGAAAGTGGTGGTAAACACCAATCAATCAATCAATCAAAATAATTGATGTGATCCTGTGATTAAAATATTTTAAGTTTTTTAAGCGGTCATTGAACCCTAAAACAAAATCATGAACAATGGACATATGACAGATGGAAAAGTCTAACCATTAGGCATCTGTATAACAACTATGGGTTATCTAGATCTTCTACCTTCTGAAATATGAAGCTTTATACAAAAGGCTAACACTGTTACTGCCACCTCATTAGCATCCATGTCTTGCATCAGACTGAAAATGACTTCCACTGGGATGGATAATAATATCCTTAAGTCTCAATGTAACCCTAGGCAAAAATCACTTAATAATGTATCAAGAATGAGGAAAGAATATATAGCAAACAATTCTATGTCATTTTTATTTTGTGTATATTTTTGTAATAATAAAAAACAACTGTTACACAGTATATATAATACATATCACAATTGGCACAAATATACAACAGTATGGAGAAAAATATTAACAATTGTAACAGAATATTTGCAGGATACATCTGTATCAGTTTCTAGTAAGGTTTTACAATCTGAAATGACTTTTGTCCATTTAACGGACATTATAAACAAATAAAGACTCCATACATATCACATTTTCAACACCTTTCATACAATTCACACAACTCACTCACAGCTCAGCCACTCATACAAAATGCTTTCAATTGTATTAAATTCAATAGGAATGGTTTTTTTAAAGGTTTGACATTGCTCTTCGAAATGCATTTTAAATTGAACATATATATTATATAGAGTGTCATCATTAAGGAATGGTTTTCAAAAGTTTGGCATTTCTCTTGGAAATGCAGTTTAAAAATGTTATTCTAATATGAAAGGAATTGGGTACTTGGAAATGTCACACTTTATAGAAGGATTTTTTTCACACCAGCACATAATTTGCAGAGGCAGTATAACTTGTAATTCTTTCCATATTTTATATACAAGGCTAACTTGATGACGGTGGCACTATTGATGCCTGAGACAACTCTGCTCGTCTAATCTCACTGGTTATCGACAGCAAATCCTGAATGACTACACGGATCTGAAAACGTAATTTTACATATTATATTCTAAAATGAATCAATTCCAAATATGCAGAAGAATAGTAATGAAGCACACGACAGATTTTGTAGAAGGGGAGGTAAGTTCTGGTGGCAGCAGCGGGGAAGATAGTCTATGATGATGATGGTACATAGGCAGAAGATACAAAAGTATCAGATCTTTTCAGTTCCTGTACAATGTCTTTCAAATCAAACAAAAACATCTGAATCTGAAATGATAGCAAAATAAAATTGATCAATATTTATATAGTGAAAAACATTTAATGAAAATAAAAACATAGAGGGTGGAAATAAGACAAACACTAGCTGCTACCCTTTATGTTTTATTTAAACATTTGTGTGTATTTTTGATTGATTTAAAACAAAATCCTATACTAATATTTTGGTTTAATAATCAGAAACCTATTTAATTGCAAGTTGTATATAAACTATATTCTAGTTAAATATTGTAATAATTGTGAAGAGCAAATTGATATATATTATTTCAATTTTTTATATTACCAAATTTATGCATGTCTAAGATATAAAGGGAAGCAACTCTTTGATCCTATTTGATATGATAACTGGCAGGTACTGGAAATTACAGATCAGAATTTTTATTGATTGTATTGGAGTGTATGTTAAAACACATGGATATTACCAATTAAAGGAAATGTTGATATGTGAAACGGGTGAAGGAGTGGAGAAACATGAATAAATTTGTGATTAGAATAGACAGCTATACAAAACACACAAAAGTAATAAAGAACTGATATTTTACCACTCAATTAAGTTTATACAATTCTTAGATCATAAAGCAACACTACATGTATATTTATATGAATCAATTTTATACCCATTTTATTCAAAATTCTACAGATAATACACAATATAGCATCAAAAATATAATATGCATAAACATCAAGTTTGCTATAAATATCTAAGCATGCTAAATTTTTTTCAAAAAAAGATCTCACCTTTTTTCATTGTTGGCCTTGAACTTGTGCTGCCCCAGCTTGGTACATTTTGGGAGATTGTTATACATTAGAAGCTAGGCTATTACACAAGCTATTGTGCAAGCTAAGTGTGTCACACATGCACAAGTGACACTATTACATACAACACATTGTTCAAAGGGTCAAATTAGCAAGTGTGCCACTCACATTCACTGGTGAAAACAGGAAGTGGCATTATCTAAACCAAATTTTAATTTAGTATTTAAAGATTTCAAAATGATTTTTAATCTGCTATTATTATATTTTTTATCAAGTGAAGATTTGAATGATCAAAATAGTTAATATAATGTAGCTTCTTCTTCCCTTACCATTGTTTGAAATTACAAAAATTTAATTGTGACATATATTTCAAAATATGTATCCGAAAAATAACCTCTGTATATATCTGTGTATGACCAAAATAAAAGATCAAGTACAATTTTTATCTCCAAGGATGGTAAATCAGTCAAAATTTTGACAACATATCAGCTGGAATGACACATGAACTTAAAGTGGGAGTCTTTTGCCATCTTTGAATAGCAAATGACCAAAAACGATCAATCAATATTTTTACTGAAATTAGTAAATTTTGATACAGATATGCAATAAACTAGTAGGACTTTTCATTTAAATAATGAACAATAGTTTTTATCATTAACTGATAGAGTAGTAACTTTTTTTTTATTACAGAAGTTCTTTTGGTTCATACAGTAAATAAAAAAAAAGCTCAATAAGGGGAGATAACTTGAATAATTAATTTTCTATGGTTATGTAGCAAGAAAATGAGTCCAGTGACCCTATTTTCCTTTCCTTTTTTTTTTTGTTGCAGATTATCAAAGGCATTAATTCAATCAAAAGTAGTTAAGGTATTTAAAATGAAAATGAAAACTCTACCTGTGACTTATCATTATGAATTTTCCCCCAAAAATAGACAAAAAATAAGCTCAATGTTTATATAAAAAGAGAAGTGGTCTTGATGTAAATGAGACTGTATCAAAACAACACTTAACACAAAAAGCACCTAGAGGCCAACCTATGATATATCAACAATAGACAGTTGTCAATGCAAAATGTCAAGCTCTGTGTAGTTGAAGTAGCAGGGCATCAAACACACAATGCATAAAAATCAACTTGTGAAAGTACAATGATAAAAAAAATGGACAATATTGTATTTCAGAAAGATGGCTGTGGATAAAACAATTTGAAAAGCCACTAAGTTTAAATCAACACACAGATTTTGTTTTCTTGTCAACCAAATAGAGGGTCTGAAAGTCTTCATTTATGTGTTCTTTTATTATTTTTTTGCCTTTTTTCTCTAATCTTTATACTTTAGCATTTTTTCTATTCTTTATTTTGTCTGACCCATTATTCAGTATTCTCAACTGTAGACAAATTCTGTACCCTTATATATAAATAATTTTTTTCAATAATTTTCTCCATCTGAGAAAGTGCTGAAAAAAGGAGAAAAGTGCAAAAAATCTTATTACCATGAATCCTACTAAAATCATGAGATCACCGATTTGATCCTACATTTTGATGTGTATGCAATATTCCTAAGTTATGTTTTCTTGTATATTACTATTTTATACTTCTATGCTAAAATACTACATATATCTATTTAAAAAACTAAGTGCACAACCTTATATTTAATATATGTTTTGAACTCAAATCTTATTTTTGAAGTTTAACAGTTAGTAGAGGACATACTGGTGAATTATTCATGCATTTAGGTATAACATGCAGGTGATTTCTAAAGTAAGGGAAAAATGCTCTCAACAAAGGATTTAATCTAGTTAGTTTAATAACCAGTACTTAAGGCAAACAAAAATAGTGAAATCTGTCTAAATAGAACATGGCATAAACCAATTGTCAAAAAACTTGTCTTGAAAGACATCTTGAATCATTATGCAATAAATATTTTCAATCTGTTTAAATAATCAGATACTTTTCTAATCCAAAAAGACTCAAATCCTAAAGAGCTTCAAATTGGTTTTGAACAGACGTGTTTTCAAATTTTTTAAGAAAATGCAACTTTTTATTATATATTATCAAAACTTTCCATAAATATTACAACTGATAAGCAAGTTGTAATTACACATCTTAGTTTAACACTTATTCTAAAAAGTAAGTTATGTTTTATTGTACAATGTATAAAAAATAGCATCCAATGTTCAGAGCATTTTGTTATCTTAAGGCAAAATAAACAGGCAATAAAAAGGAATTTTGACTGGAACTCAATGAACTGCAAAAATGAAGAATACAAAAATTAAAATGTGATATTAACAGTCAATAATTTCTAATTTAAAAAAAAAATGTAATAATGTAAGTATTCTTAGACAAACTATTAGAAATCATTTTTTATTGGCTACCACTTGCTTTGTTTTCAGTGTTCTCACAAAAAGATTTAGTCTTTCATTGTGATTGCTCATTTGTCAATAATTTTTTACCGAACATTTTGGTCAATGATATTTTAAATGCAATATAACTAGTTTAACTTCACCATATTTTTCCTGTACAAAGTCAGACAATTTTGCACATTTGTTCTTTTTAATTTTTTACTTTGACAGTGTTACTGTAACATTTTTTTTCTGTACAAAGTCTGACTATTTGGCCTTTTTGTCGTTCTTTATTTTTAATTTTGCCTGTGATTTTTCTTCCATGTTTTTATTCTCTCGGTTGGTTAGTTGTATTGAATGTTAGAAGAAGTCTTTAATTGAAAGTGTCTCATATATCAGTTGTGGCTGGATACCGATATTTTAACTTTGATTTAAATCTTTATTTGTATTTTTATACTACTTATAATATGATGTATGATATTGTTTTATATTGGTATGTGACACTATAATAAAATATTCTGTCTGTATTTGAGTAACTATTATTATATTTTTCATTATATTATTCAGATTTTTATTTAAATTCTTCAATATAATATCATACCAAAATAAACACCATTAGCTATCTATCACTTTAACAAATATACTTCAAAGGAATACAAAATTTTCCTTAAGCCTTAGTGCTTTTGAAACCTTAAAAGTATGCATATATATATATATATATCCTCCAAACAAACAAAACATCTATTGGTACAGTTTTCACTGGCATTACAAACATGCATATATACATGTATATTTCTTTTGACAAGGTAAGAAATCCGTTAGTTTTTCCTCTCTGATATCTGTTTTCCCAGTTGTGAAAATTCAATCTCTTAACTTTTTATAATGTCTGAACATCTTTATTTACAAAAACATAGATATCCTCCGACCAAGTTTTATGGTTGTATATCATTTAGCATGTGAACTGAACTTAGACCTGGATGCTTTGTTAAAATCAAAATTTAACATTATCTGCGTACAAAAAAAAAATTGTATATTTCTGTTTGCTTCAGTATTTGTACAGTCTGCACAGAAGTAAGAGAGTACTTCAACAACATATTTCCACTTTGCTTGTGTATATTTTATAAACCAAACCGTTACCAAAATGCATACATATATGACATCCAACACCAAATATATAAGTAATGGTGTACAATTTTACCTGTGCTAATTGTTCATGTGTTTCTTCTTCTTCCGCTGACTGTTTTTGGTGTCGTTTAACTAACTGATACAAATTTCTGGCAGCCCTATTCAAAGAAATTGAAATCTATCTATATATAGTGCAATAAATCTATCTATATATAGTGCAATAAATCTATCTATATATATATAGTGCAATAAATCTATCTATGTAATGTGCAATAAAAGTTGTTACATTCAGTTACTTTATAACAATAGATATAAGAAGATGTGGTATGAGTGCCAATGAGACAACTCTCCATCTAAGTAACAATTTATAAAAGTAAACCATTATAGGTCAAAGTACGGTCTTCAACACGGAGCCTTGGCTCACACCGAACAGCAAGCTATAAAGGGCCCCAAAAATTACTAGTGTAAAACCATTCAAACAGGAAAACCAACGGTCTAATCTATATAAAAAACGAGAAATGAGAAACACTTATGAACCACATCAACAAACGACAACTACTGAACATCAGATTCCAGATAACAAGTCCATTATTGAGTAACGAAAATAATTTTCATGGTTTTGGTAAAATGGTTTGTGGTCTTGCAATTTTGATTAAACTTTTGTTTAAGTGGGTAAGGGTGGGGTGGTTGGGAGATGGGGGATATAGTAAGAATGAACTTTTTTGTTGAATTATTTTTTTATACTACACATTCATATCATTTGATTTATCTGGCATTGTATAAACAATTTAAAATTCATGAAATGTTTTTTTTTCAACAGCAAAAAGTTAATATATTGTTTATGTCATAAATTATGCAAAGATATACTATAAAAATCAATACCATAACTATAGTATTCTGGTCTTACTAATATAACAGTTCTGTTTGAACTTACATTTTAATTCTACCAAGTGTTAGTGTTTTTGTAGCAGCAGTATTTTTAATATGTGTCCATGCAGATTCCCATTTTACAGCCTCACTCTGAGCTGTGTCAAGTTGAGTCTGTAATCCTGATAACTGGTTATTACAGGATAAAATTTCATTGTCTTTTTCCTATAAAAAAAATATAATTATACTTTCATGCTATAAATAGTGCATTTACTGTCAGTCCTCAATACTTTATATGTTTAAATAAATTACTATATACCTTAATACTGACTACCTCATTTTTAATTGAATCTGCTCAAACAGAGCTGTAGATACCCGATTAGAAAATCAGTCTGCAAATAAAGAATTACTTTACTTTTTTAACAGACAAGAAAAGCTCACCAAGGCACACATAATTTCTACCTAGTTATATCAAACTTTTACTAATTTTTTTCTTATTTGTTGACAACATGCATGTATTGTCTGAATCTCAAATAATGGTGAACATTTTTACAGTACAATCAAACATGTTTTCCATTTTTTATCATTAATTCCTTATATCTTAAATATGGATTTTTCAAAGACTTCTAATGACTGTTTTTATAGTTTGAATACATATTGATTTAGTACATTTAGGTACCTGACAATCTACACCAGTCTTGTAGGTTTATGAGTATTTCCAGGAACATATATATTGACGGGACTTGACACTACCTGATTGTAGTCAATTTTATCGTCATGCCATAGTTAATAAAGATACGATACAGAAACTGACATGTGTTAAAAACGGACTCGCTATTATCCTAATAATTTCTGATATTATCAATAAAATGTCATTCAAACTAGTTTTATAGTGATGCTAGGGTATCAAACTTGTATTCTGTCACTTCAAATTTGTTAAAATCGCAAGCATTTTATCACAGGATTGTGCAGAATGCAATCAGGTAATAAAAAAATGGTGGCCATTGCCGCGATGATTTACAAATTCCCAAACTATTATAAAACACTTCACATCAAATAAATCAAACTTATTTTGGTAATTTTATATGACAAAATATATCTACTTAATGATAAAACTTGCATTTATTTACAATTAGAGTTATGTGGTTTATTTGTTGAGCAGTTCTGATAGTTTTTCAGTCAGACGCTACCAAAATCCGTAAACATCGGGAAGTCTCGGGGAGTCCGAGATTTTATCAATTTTATACTGAAAAGCGTATTAGATTCATTTCCCGTTAGATATACTGTTCCCAGGTATTTCTAAATATTTGACAGAGCAAAGTCTTGTTTCAGGGCCCATGGTCATAAAATTTTACTCAGTACTCAAGAGTACATAATTCTTGCTCTGAACACCAAATCCAGGATTCTGACTGGTTGAATTCCAATCTGAGTACGATAACTGTACTCCAAATTTTTATGATCTACTTACCTCGATGTATTTCATCAGATTTTGTCTTTCTATTTCTATGACTTCCTGATTTTTTTGGTCCTGTTCTAGTAAATCCTGGAAAAAAATAAAATATTCATAAATAATTATTGAAATATTAACCACCTCTAGGTATTATACTATAAAATTATCATACATTTTTAAATATTTCTATCTCTAGTATAGTACATTGTGTAGCACAACTCTCTTTGTAAAATACTTTAACATTTTAATGTAGAAATAAGATGATGTGGTATGATTCCCAATGAGACAACTCTCCACCAGAGACCAAATGACATATTTGTATTTATCGTAAATAATGAAAAAAAAAAGACAACAAATACTAAAGATGTTCAATTAAGATTGGTCTTTGCTAAATGTTCAGTGGCAAATATTTGACACTTATGGGCAAAATATTTAAACAATAATTCATAAGTAGGTTTGTCGAAGTGGGTTAATTAGGATGATTTGCTCAAAATATTTTTCCATTGAAAGTGCTGCAACAAAATCAAGTTTTAAAACAATCAATTGTCATTTGTTGCAGCACTAGATATGTAATTTTTTCCCTATTTCTCCAGCCAATTTATGACTTGTGAGTTTTCTTACTTCATGTGTTGCTGTCAATGTGTCATATCTAGCTATAATATCTCTCATTTCACCAAATTCTTCTCCAGCTTCTAACACCTTTTCCATGTAGGTGTGATAAATTTTAAATCTATCTAATTTTTCTTGTAACTTTGATTTGTCTTTTTCCAGTTTTCCTTTTTCTACTTTCAATCTGAAAAAAATAATAAGAAACACTGAAGTATAGACAGTTGATTCCGGTTATTAGCATGATCATGATATGTCAGACAAAATTAAGCAATTAAACTGAGTTATGCTTATATCCAAAATGCATAAATTATGGAGTCAAACAATATTGATAGTAGAGGGTGGTAAAGGGGGGGTGCTTGAACGGAAAAAACGTGAAATAAGACATAATTTCACGTTGAACGTGAAATAATTTTCTGTCATGAACATTGCACGAAAAATAAAGACTGTTGTGAACCTTTTGTGACTGAGTCACTGTCTTCTTGTATATAAACTCTCTGTTTTACTTGATATTTCCGATTTAGTATACACATTTATGATGTAAATGGTTTACAGCTTTTAAAAAAGTATTTCTTGACGATCCCTGCCAAGTATTTGAATTTTATTTGAAAAATACCGAGCAAAATAAGGATTTGAAAATCACGATGCACGTAAAATTAAATAAGCAGAACACTTTGAACGAGGCACCTGTCTTGCACGACTGAACGTTAAATAAAAAAGTAAAAACACGAACGTGAAATAAAAAACGGCGATCACATTGCACGAAAATAACCCTTTACCTCCCTCATAGTAAAGGAAATCCCAGAAGAAAGATGAAGAACTCAGTGATCCATATACACAGTATTGAATTTTAATAAAAGTTAAATGTCTGATGTCATACGTTGTTGTCTTATAATTCTTTCAATAAAGTTTATAAACACATTATTTTTTTGTTAGTTGTGTACTGACATTTCCTTTACCTGTGATATAGATATAAAACCAAATGTAACAGATTGTTTCTGTGACCTGTATGTACAATGAAACATTACTACGCCTTGGTTAAGAAAACTGTTCAACAATGCTACAGAGTTTATTATATTTTGGTAATAAATATAATGTAGTGCCTTTGATATGCAGTATATACAGCTTGTACAGTGTTGTAACACTGTTTCTTTGACCTTGATAGTTTTCAAATATGCAAAGTAGTAAAGGGGCCCTTTACAGGTTATTTGCTTGACGCAAATGTTGAACATGAGAAAATATAAGAATAAGATTAGTAAATACACTTTTCAACAATAACAAACAAAAAATGTTTGACGAATAAAATTCTTCAACCATAAATTAATCCTTGTAATGTTAACCTGAAAGGAATTCAACCAAGCAGAATTACCAGTGTACAAATCAGATGCATGGTCATTGAAAGTTATCAATGATTAGCAGGAGTTATTTTTTCTTTAAATTCAATCTGATAGTAATCTATGGACAATGTTTAAGTGAAATCCAATCCAAAATTATCACCTTTTGAGAGAGAATGGTCATGATTTTACAACAAATACCTGTTTTTGACATTTTTATGACCATGAAGCTTAATTTAGAACAAGGGAAGCAAATTTACCTGTACAAATTGAAGGAAATTAATTAATATTGCATGCATCATATAATCATGAAAGAAACTGTTTTAAACTTTATTTAAACAACACAAAAATTAATATAAAAAAATAACTCAAATAATAAGCAGTCAAGAAGCATATACTTACATACTATATTGACATTTCCGGATAGACAAAAAATTTACAGTTTTAACTAAGCATATTTAGCTGGTGATTATTTTCTATTCAATTAACCAAAAAGCCATTTGTCAGGCTATGCAGATATATATATAACTGGATTTTTCAACATTAGATGAATAGGAAATGGTTTTGTGCAGAAGAAAACTATGGAATTAACAGAAATATGCAATTAACCGGTATGCAATTAAGTGGAGTCGACTGTATATACTTAAAATTTGTTATTATTTACATTAAAAAAAAGGTAGGTAGGTTGTAAAAAGATAATTCAATATAAACACATAACGAACTTCCCTACAGGACATATATACTTCAAATTTTTTGTCTTTAAGATTAAATTTTTAATTCACAAGTCAATCACCCTGTCATTTTAAACAGATCTTCAAGACCACAAGTTGTAACAGGCCTCTACAATAATTTTTTTTCAACTTGCCCAATAGGACAAGTACATGTACATACCAAAACTTACTTGTCCAAAAAAAAAAAACAACCTTTAAAAATTTACATTAACCTTTTTGCATTTAGGTTGATTCAATGAACAAAATGAATTAAAACAATATAACAGAATTGGATTTATATCTCTTGATATCCTTTTCAAAAATATGATATGTCTAGTCACAGGACTTAGGTTCTAGTTTTCATCAATGCCAAAGTCTCATAGTCTCTGCACATCAGGCTGCATAGTCTGGTAGGCCTGTCAGTCTACACTCATTTGGTTTCTATCCTGGTCTTTTATGTTGATAAAATATTGATTATTATGATTAATTCCCTACTACAATCAGCTTTGTTTTTAATATATGAAAATGTTTATTCAAACACAATCAAATAGTGTTTGTCTAAATATGATCAAATATGATTTTCTGAAATCTATGGTAAAAAATCTCTTCATTTTTATTTTTAAAATATTTTTGTTAAATAAAATTTATCATATATTTATTATAAAGCAACAGAATAAGGTAGAGAAATGAGGTATTGGTTTGTCTTGGTCCCGAAATGTCTCCAACAGTGCCAAACTGTCTATTAAACATGGAGCCGATTCATTTCCGTGCCTGTGCCAAACTTGTTACCGTATATACAAAGCGCACCGCTGATTCCGATTGATGAGACTGGTTTCCAAGAATAGTATGCCTTTTATCTGTTATAAAGTATCTGACAAAGAACCAGTTTTAAATTATCGACTGCAAGTAAACATGTCAAATTAATATTTGTTTTTATCTTCTTTTCTTGTTTTTTGTTTATTACTTTGGTCATCAAAGTTGGATTTAATTTATTTTCTACAGAATGATTTTACTTGTCCCGTCAAACAAGCTTGATATGGCTTTTACTTGTCTGACCTTTTTTTCCTCTGGTACAGGACAATCGGACAAGCGTTATTGTTGAGCCCTGTGTAAAAAATATGTGCATTGTTGTTAAACCAATTTCTGTTTAAGACAGTGGTTTGACCAAATGGGACAACTTGTAAAGAAAGATTAAACTTAAAGGTAATTAAACCACATTAGTTATGTCACCAAATTTCAGCTGGATATGTTGAGAAGTTTATAACTTAAAGATAAGAACTGTACATGAATGAGTGAATATAAATCTTAAGTTTAGAACACATTTATATATTCTAGTTTACCCAATATACCTGAATTACAGACCAAAGACAATATGCCATCAAAGTTGCTTTCAATTATACATTACAATAAAATGGCACAAAAGTAACTAGCTGTTTCTTAAACTTTTCAAAGCCTAAATAGATCTTTAATAAAAATGGACTTGTGTCTACAAATATAAAGGTATTGTGCCAAAGGAGGTAATTTTGACAAATATAACGGTATTGTGCCAAGGGAGGTTATTTTGACAAATATAACGGTATTATGCCAAGGGAGGTTATTTTGACAAATATAACAGTATTATGCCAAGGAAAGCAATTTGTCAAATATAAAGGTATTGTGCCAAAGAGGGTAGTATATTGTAAGATGTAATTACTTCTCAATTTCTTTATCTTTCTGTTTCTTTGAATCTCTTTCCTCATCAGCTTTTTTCAAAGCTCTTGCTTTCTTTGAATCATTTTCCTGTAATCAAATATTATTTTATAACATTGATATTTTTTTCATAAATTCATTAACTTTTCAAAATAAAAGTACATAGTTTATGAACATAATGTAATAACATTAAGAAATATGTATATAAATAAAGATCTTCTAAAGAGCTCAACAATGGTAGTACTTTAATTCCCATCAAGTCATACATATTTTCCCTATTGCTGAAAGTCCAAAATTTATAATGTTTTTGCATACTTTGAAATATATATTCAATCATGCTTAACTCAGTTTTTACAGCATAATAGATGTTTATTTTTCATTAAAAATAATTTTTTCAAGATAACCTGGACACTTTTAAATAGGAAAAATCTACATCTACATATCATTTAATAGCTAGTCATATACAAAAAACAACCCTTTCAAAAGACGATTTATTTATAAATATTTAATATTAACCTTGAGGAAATGATCAAACTTTAGTAACTGCTCCTTTAAATCACATTCTTTTCTTTCTAGTTCCTCTCTTCTTTGCTGTAAACTTTCCATTTTCATTTGGAATTCCTTCAAGTAAAAAATTATATAACTGTTAAAAATTTGAAAAAATATAGCATCATTCTATGACTGTTTAAAAATGTTTTTTTTAATGCTATCTTTTTATTTGTTAATAGTTTTACTTACTGTAGGTGTACAATTTGTGCAAATAGAGATTTTTGATAGGCTGCTAGACCAATCACCTCATTCCGTCATGTTTCCAACTTATGTAAAAGCAACCCAACAATTGAATTGTTAGCTCTGCCCACCTAACTCATCAACACATTTTTGTACACATTGCTCGTGTACTTCGTGCTAATTAAAAAAAAACTTAAAACTTAAAGGCAGCAGCTCATACAAATGTATTACCAGTATCTAAATATGTAAATGTATTAATTTGAAAATGTAACAAGTAGGCAATCTTACATTCTTGAAGGATCAATAGTAAATTAATATGTAAGATAAGAGATCATGAATATAATTTAAATAAAAAATTAATTATGATAACAGTTATCTGAAAAATTTATTTCCTGTGAGCATTTGCAGAATTACAATTGACCGATTTGCAACGTTTGAGTTAATTTCAAATTCAAAGGAACACAATATAGGATCATTTAGCCTTAAAATGTATCATACTTACTAATTCTCTAATGTGCTTTTATTTTGGTAACCCAATAATTCAGTCCCACCCAGTGATCGACTATCCCACTTGCAAGGGCCTGAAATATTTATACTATAAAAATGTTTTGCAAATCATTGATTTGATTTTTCTGGGTGAGAGAGCCAATCAGCTGAAGGCTTATTGTTATCAAGATAGGCAAATCCAGAACTAATTCCGAATGATTAATTAACGACTATCCATTGACTAGGTCTTCAGGTGCAAATGTAGCCATCATAGATCAGCATAATATAACAACTGAATTATTCAGGTTATTATTTTGGTCAAAAATTCTGCTTGTGTTGAACTGTAAACTGGTAAAGAAAATATAAAAATCTACATTTCTAGATTTACCTCTTTCTGGGCTAGTAGTGCCTGATCAACTTCTGCCATTTCTCTTCTTTTCTCCAAAAGTCTTGTTGCAGGTGTCAAGTGATCATCTTCCCGCTCAGGCATTTTGCTAATGAAAGAAAAATGGAAAAATAAATTTCATAATAGTTTGTCAAAATCTTATCATCATTCCTAAATTGTTTTGTCTCATAATTTAAACGGAATTAGAGAATGGCATAAGAAATCTTGAGTATCAGTGGTCTTTGATAAAATATCATGAACACAGTTGAACAGTTGTATTGCAAAATTAACTGCATAAATTGTTATATATATATTGGTTCTCAGGTTCATATTGAGTTATTTTGGAGTTCTTGGGAAATTGTGGTAACGGCTAAATCGAGGTCAGTCCAATAAATGGAGTCCCTGCACTCAGAAATGGAGTATATTTCCTAATCTGATTAAATTCATTTACAGATGTTACATTTTGCTCCATAAAATTTCTTTGTAAGATCTGAAAAAATTCCATAAGTGGTCATGTTAAGATGACCTTTCTAATATGCAAATTCTTGATTAACCAATCATATTAAGTGACATTTCTAAATTACAAATTCCCCCTCACATAAAATTTCAATGTTCTATTTGATTCATGATATAAAAAATGAATAAAACTATCAAACTTTACTGTTCTCATAAGTCGACAAATGTTTACAATCAGAATTAGATTATAAACGACTTTTGCAGTGTTCCAGCTAGGATTTCAAAAGGGCAGGGTGCCAATCCTGAAAAAGGGCATTTAACACGTGATATGATAATATGAAAAGGGCATGGTTTAATAAAGATATTAATCAAACATTGTCTTTATTCATTGAATCACTGGTTATATATATACAAGTACAACATGAATACAAATTATAAATGTACATTACTGAATGATTACCCCAGATAAAACTCTATCTTTCTACTTTTTGCGCTGAAAAACTTGTCAAGCACCTTGTCACACAAGTTTTCAAAGCATTGCTTGTCACAGTTTAGCTATATATGCAGTATGTTTTGCAAGGTGTCCTGCTTCATTCTGTTTCTATGGTCACATTTTACAAGTTTTATAAGGGCTTTTGTAAATGCAGAGGCCCTAATCATCCTGTTTTTTTTTTACTTTCATTTTTACTACTTCCATTCCGATTTCTGAAAAAATATTTTTTCTCGTTTTTAGAACTTAGAAAGATCGATTTGAAACATCAAAAAGGTTTTAAAAAATCTCAAATTTTTTTTTTTCAATTATCGTCGTACGTTTCCCAGGATTATTGTTAGAAATGTCCATTTGAAAAATCAAAAACGTTTAAAAAATTCTCAAAGCTTTTCTTCAATTATCAAATATTCAAATTAAAATAGGAACTGTCAAAACTGAAAATATATAACATAGAAGACTCACGTAGTAATAAAAAAGTCGACCAATCTTCTGTTAGTCTCTTTAGATTTTTTAATTTCCTCTTGTTAACATCTTTCACGCTTGGGCATTGTGATTGGAATAAGACAAGAAACACAAACTCATAATGTTATATAGATTTTTATTTAATGTGTTCAAATCATCGTTAATCAATGTGTACTGATCAGCTGTTAACGACAGGCTGGGATTATTATACTTACAAGTATAATAGTCCCAGCGACAGGTAAACATATTTTTACCCATTTATATTACGATGTGCGCACAGTGTTGACAAGGAAGTTTGATTTCGTAATGGTGGATCAAAACAAAACGAACAAAATAAAATACAATCGATCTTCAAAAAGGCAGGGCGCCATGAAAAAGGCAAAGGGCGCCCTGGAAACTGTAAAAAGGGCACAGGGCGCCACTCTAAAAAGTGCAGGTGCGTGCCCTCTGTAAACGGCCTAGCTGGAACACTGTTTTGGATTTGTGCATTTTCCCGTAAATTTCCTATGTTATTGCTATTATGTCATAGTTAGAATCAATTGTTCTATGGTGTCATTTACACCTACTGACTTCTTTCATCCTGTATAACTCATTCATAAAAAACAACTCAAAATTGGTGTTAAAGCCAAAAAGGTGACCGATATTACGGGACAGGAGGATACATCATTAAAATATTGACACTTTGGAACTAAAGCCATGTACATGTACCAACACTAGTACACTAGGGAAACATGACAAAAGAAAACCCAAATTCTAAATATCTAAGGTCTATAAGTTTAAGTTTGCACCATAATGAAATTTTATGTATTATTTTTATATTCTAGACTTGCAAACTATGAAAACGTACACCACGAGGGTATCCTCGAAGGTCGTCTTGAAATATTCTTCCAAATCCACAGACATTGTGATTGTGTATTCTTAGTATCTAAGTCAAAATAAGCAAAAATCAAAGGACACTTCTAAACTCCTGGTCAATTGGCCGCCATTTGTAAACCATTCAATAGTTGCCATGACATCGAATCTGTTAAAAGTTTTTAAAAGTTAAAACTAACGTTCAACCATAATGATTTTCAAATTTCATAGAAATGCATTTATCAATTTACACAATTTTTATACATAAAAAAGATATAGTAAAAAAAATATAAACAATATTTGCTTCCGGTTATGTTCACTTCCGGTAACTTTTCGAGGTCAAAAAACAAATCGAAAATGGCTAGCATTGTTTTGAAGCAAATATTTTCTAGAACAACAACAGCTTCTTGTTGTCATGTTAGAGCAATCGCACAGAATTCAAGCAGGTACAATTTTTTTGTCGAAAAACAGTGGTTGAATAACTTTTTTTGGTGTAAAGGCCAAAATTTGCAGACGAATTTTGAAACAGCTGATGATGCAATGATTTCTTATGTGGGCCTTGTCAATATAGACCAATGACATTGAAGCATATTTACTGTGCCATTTAATGTTCATTTAACTTATTTAGTAATAGGCAGATGCTTACTAATGAGCCCCTCTAAGGTTATTTGTTAATCCTAAATGGGATTCTGGGTCGCTCTCTCAGGGATCTCCATGGATGAAAATTTAACGATGGAGGAACTTTCACTGTGACAAAACCCCACTTCTACGGCGTGGCGTGATCGGAAGGATATCATTCCTCCATTTCTATGTAAGGAATGGTTGAAAGACTGATATATGGCTTATTATATTTATTTCATTATAGAATAACCAATTATGTTTTCATTAATTGTCATTTGTAACAATTCCAATGTCAAGTCTGCATGACTCCCCCTTAGTCAAGAATGTCCCTACGATTCCCAAGTCGTTTTCTTGCAATTGTGGTAATTGTTAAGGACTTAAAAAACGGGTGGATCTTTTCAGTAAAGTTGCATATTTTAAGATTATTTTTATACTTCATATTTGTACTTTTTGTTCAAAATGCTTTTGTAATTCTTACATATTGTAGTGAAATTTGGGGGGTGGATTCACATTTTAAGGACTCTGATCCCTTTGAAAAACTTCATGTTAAATTTATCAAAGATATATCAGGGGTTCACTGTAAGGCATCTAATGATGGATGTCGAGCCGAACTTAATAGAATTCCCTTGAAAAATAAAATATTATATTCAATATTCAACTACCTGAACTATATAGTTTCTTCGGAAAATTCTTTGGCATATGATATATTCACTAAATCTGTAGATTCAAACCCTTGGGTCATAAAGGTCAAGAGTCTTTTGAATGGACTTGGAATGTCTTATATCATCAAAAACTTTAATTATGTTAAAGGTATTTTTAAATTCCATTAAACAAAGAATTAATGACCAATGTTTGCAAGTTGAAAATGCAAATATATTTGAATCAAAAAAGTTAAGACTTTTTCAAGAGTGTTTACATAATGGGCAGAAGACCACCCTACATGTATGTTGATATATTGAAAAACAGAAGTGACAGAGCTGCAATATGTAAGATCCGTATAAGCGCTCATATACTGATGATTGAAAGAGGGAGACATCTAAATATTCCCAGAAATGAAAGATACTGCTCTGTATGTAATTCTGGTCAAATTGAAAATGAAAAACATTTTCTTTTACATTGTGAAAAATACTCAACTAAAAGGGCCATATTTTACCAAAAAGTTTCAAATATAATCGTTGATCCTACAAAATTTAAAAAAAATGAAAATAATGTAATCTTTTTATTAAATAATAATTCATACACAATCCTAAAATTGACTTCCTCTTTCATTTCAGACAGTCTGAACCTGCGTAAAGCAGAACAAACTCTATAATATTGTCAATATGTCTAATTCTTAATCATTGTTTATAAAATTACATATTAATACATGTATAGTCATTATTTGCAATACTTATTATGTATGATCAACTATGTAATTAATATACCATGAGCCTTAACCATTTATTGTTGATGAGTTTGTGCTAATAAAATATTTGTATTTGTATTTGTATTTGTAACTTTTTTAACCTGCAAAAATACGAAAGTCCGTCGGGTGTAACTATCTACTGGTGGGAAGGTCCAAATCCGTAAATGGAAGGACCACCTCTTATTTGAACCCCTTGGGTTGAAGTTTGGTTTCGTTAGGTGAAAGTTTTGGTTAAGGGTAATTTGTGGTAACATCAAATTAAAATTTTGTAACAGGTTTCATTATGAAATGAACTGTTTAATCGATAACATTTATGCAAAATTAGAGTTTGGCCAAATTTCAGGGTTCACTGAACATGGAAATGTGAATTTGAATATAAATTTTTAAGTTTTGGTTTTAGTTAAGTTAAAATTTTGGTTTTTACTACAAGGTATTATAATGTTCATGATGATTAAGTGAACTGTTAAATATATTTGCAAAATATGGGTTTTGATCAAAATTCTGAACATGGAAATGTGAAGGTGCAAGTAGGGCATGGTATATTCTTGTTTAGTTATTGAGAGAGTCTTTTGTTTAGCTTTGGTTATCTGATAATACAGAATTTGCAATCAATGACCTTGAAATTGTATAAATGTTTGAAATCTCTTATTTTAGATGTTTTAGCACATCCCAGATACTGCTTTCTAATAAAGAGGCTACTGAAGAGCAACCACAACAAGAGGAACAACAAACATCTAAAAATGGAGGATTCTTCAAAAATTTACTTAGAGTACGAACATTAAAGCCTACTAAAGAATCACATTCTAGTCTTCTTTCGTCCAAGGAAACAGTGTATGAAATACAGTGTAAGTAATTAGTTTTTCAATAAGTATCATTCTAATTTCTTTATTACGATTAATTCTAAAAGAACACATGGCTTCAAAATAACTTCTGCTGTTAATTATTCATGAATAAGAAAAGACGGGATATACCTTAATGAAACAGGAACCTGAAAAACACAAAAAAACAAAAAGACATCTAGAGTGTATTTATAATGCTTTAGAAATGCTATAATTAGTTCTATGCATCGCCATGCCTTCCTGCACATACCATGTTAATTTATTTGGAATAGCCCTTTCAAATAAAAAAAAGTGAAAATACTAATGAAAAATAATAATGGAAAATATGTTTTTTTTAAGCTTTTGCAAGAATTTTCTTTCATATATCTTTGTCATGTTAGTGCTTTTGCATTTTCAGAAGTATGACACTAAAGGTAAAGCCATTTTGTTAGAAGCCTAAATGCAAATCTTGACACATTAGGATTTGTATGCGATTTTGGGTCTTCTCAAAATGTTTTTGACCCCTTTTGTTTATAACCATGTAGTATTTTGAGATTTCTTTTCTATGTAGTTCATGCTGTGAAACCTGAGTTTATGGAAGATTACTTAAATCAGTTGTAAGTAATATAGCTTGTAATTAATTAATAGAATTTGTATTTCAGGATCATTGTTTTGCAGATATGAATAAGTGCAAAGTATCTCATCAGATATTCCATTATTTTTTCTTTTCAAATTACATTTCATGTAAAAGATGGTTAAATAATGAATGTCATCACATAAAAAATTATAATATAACAATAGAAAATTATAAATAAGGGGAAGAGAAGTCCATTTGTGACCTGCTGTAAGGCTTAATTTTTTTATGCCCCTGCCATTGTCGACGGGGACATTAAGTGCTACCCTTGACCGTCTGTCCTTCTGTCTTTCCATCCATCCTATTTTGTTTGTTTGAAGCTTTAGCGGGGGCATTCATGTCCTCAGAAACATTCTTCTTTTATTTCACTTCTTTTTATCCATTGTTTTTTCGAATGCCAGTCAAAGTTACATACATCTTCATTTTTTCCTGGTTCTTGGTATTTGAGTCACAGTTCACACTTTTTCTATGTTTATCTAACTTTATCACTACAAATGCAGTTTAAATATTTGGAATTCTAATATGACATTCTTCAAATGCTTTTAGTACACACATACTGAAATATGAATATATTGTATGTCACCTACTGAAATATGAATATACTGTATGTTAGCTGATCGACAATGTCTTTATTTATTTAACAATATGATGTAAAATAAACAAAGATTATTCAATCAGTAATAGAGGTTATTATCCGATTAAGTTATTAGTTACACAATAAAGCTGTCATTATTTGTTACTTTTTGTCCTTGTAAATCTAATTGGATTGCTACATAAATCACTTGTATTGTTTTATCAGTTTCACAGTTTGATCAAGGTTATGTAAGATATGTGTTTTTTACATCAAATGAAGGGCAGAACTTGAAAAACTCAATTGGTTCTAATGACTGGAATACCACCCCTCCCCTTTCCTTCAAATCAACTTTTAAAATAGCAGTCCAAGTATATATGAAAGTTTGTTTACATAGGATAGTCTTTATTTAAAAGACCTACGTGTTTGTCTCATGGTAGATGCTTGTTTCAATGCTGGAGGTCATGGGTTCTATCCACTTGATCAGACCAAAGACTTTAAAAAGTTGGTATTTGTGGCTTCTCTCCTTAGTACACAGTATTTAAGAGTAAGAATAAAGACTGGTTGGTCTGGAGTGAAAATAATGTGTTCAGTAGGGTAACACTAACCATGCTAACAGGTCTTTGGAATGTTACTTTGTGATCTAGCATGTTAAAGATCCAGCTCAACTTGTTAGTCTAGTACAAAGCAGAGTTCATATTCATATCTCTTTAATTGTGTTCTCATTCTAAATATATGCATTTAATTGGCCATTTGATTTTAGACAGCCATCAATCATCATCATCTTTTATTTCTAGCTCACGAGTCACTTGGCTAAAATGGTCTGTGAGAGCAATTGATGTCCTTGCCATTCATCACCAGCCAATTCAAACTCTTACATAGCTTAAACACTATACGTTATGTTGGTTTCATTTATTTATGTTTTGACAATCCGTGTTGATAATGGTGTTGATCATATTTATAATACAGAAGGACAGTTTGACCAATTTGTGATGATAATTGTAAAATTTCCTACATTGCTAGATAGTTTACAAATACCATGAATACCTTGAAATTAAATCTGTCACAGCTTATAAATTGCATTGAAATGAGATTTTTTAGATAGAATCCTTTACAAGTTTATAGCTCAAGCTTTTTAGCTGGATGTACACACGTTTGATTTAAAACATGTTAGAAGCAAATGTTCTTATTAGCCAACATGTCATTATACACTGTTAAATATATGAATATGATTTTTGTGTGTATGTATTATCAATGGTGTTTTATTTCAGCTCAAGGTTTCAAGGTCTGATGCATGAAAAGAAAACAGGTGCAAATTTAGTGGCTAGTTTTACAGTGGAAATAGGAGATCAGGATGAGGCTGGTATGTAATTAGGCCTTTCGTTTTCTCTTTTGAATTGTTTTAAATTTTTCCTGTCAGGGCTTTATCATTTACTTTATGGTATGGGTTTTGCTAATTGTTGAAGTTTGTATTTGATTTTAAACATATTTTATTCATAAAGATATGGAAAGGATTGAGCAACAGGCACAGCCTATAAAAGCTCTCTCCATATTACATGTACAAAATATATATCAAATATTAACAACTGTATTTAAAATAATACAATATAGATGAAAATGCATGCTACTTATGAGCACACACAAGCAAATATATATTTACAGTGTTAATTACTAAATGTAAAGTATATTTAAGTATATAGGCAATTAATCATCTTTTATTCAAGTACCTTGAGACATGTAAAATCTTTGTATGGTGACCTATAGCTGCTTACATTTACATTATTTGGTTTTGGATGGATAGTTGTCTCATTGGCAACCATCTTCTTATTTTTATATGTAGATCTTCATTTAGTCATTTGTGTGGAGGTCTGTGTCTCACAAAAAATAAGATGATAGATAAGTTACAATTGAAAATATATATGCATTGAAATATTGTTTATTAACTTAATCAGTTTGTAAGAAAGTAAGTAAAAAGGTTAATTATTTCTATACATATTATTGTTTAGAAAAGAATAAAAAAAAGTGTGATACGCAGGCAAATTTTGTGGCAGTACCAATCTTCATATGTATGGTAGGTAAGAAGCCCAAAATTTATCTTTATTTCCAAATCAGCAGTTTTACAGATATTTTATAGTTTCTGCAGGTGCAGATTCAGACGAGAGCACTCCAGGTGTGACCCCCTCTTACCAAAAAGAAAACAAATGTAATTTATAGGTTAAATTACAGCCAATTTTATGTCAAAGTATGGTCCTCTTAAGTCCTAATTCTCAGGAGTGCCCTTCCATCAAATCCTGAGTCAGCACTTGTTCTGTTTGAAGGCTGCTGTACTTTCATTATTTCGCCATTAGGCATTTCAGGCAGAAACCCAGTTGAAATTAAACAAAAGAAATGGAACTCTTTGTTAGAGAAGGTAAAAAATGCCAAGGTTGAATTGTTTACATCTGTTTCTATGGGCTTTAAAAGTTTAATGAATGAGCATAATTTAGGATTTTATGCACCTTATATATGTGTTTACTTAAATTATGGTATAGAGCCTCGAGATATTTGTAAACTTCTAAATTATAGACACATTTTCAAAAAACAGTCGATAGAGGTAGGTGCAAATACATGTGGATCTTTTTTGTGCATATGCATAAATTCCGCCGAAAAAATTAAAAAGAAAATAGATTGATCTTTTTAATGCATTAATTTGCATCTCTGCTCCCAGCGACAGTTTTTTGGGAAAAAATCCCCAAAATGGGCAATAATTTCATCGAAAAGAGAAAGTCGAGTACACCTTTTTATGATCAGGCGTGTTTGAGTTGACTATTCTGTCATGAAAACGTATAAAAGAAAAATATATGATATATCATCTCACTTCAGATTCTATTATTTTTATATATTTAGGCTATAGGTTGATATAATAACATTAAAAACTTACATTACTAAGAAATAAAATATATGGGTCAAGTGAAATATCTTTCTAATGAGTCATAACAACAGAGTAGGTGGGGTCGAATTACAAATTTTTACTAAAAGTACTTGACGACAGACTTTACAAATGGATCTTAAAAATGCATAACTTCAAAAAAACTTCATTTTTTTTGTGTGTTATCTATGGTAATTAGTCCTCAACCTCTGAAAATTTTTAGTCTGCCCTTCCACGAAATATTTAATTAGATTTTTTTAAATATTTTTGAACTTTCGTAAATTCACCTTGACAACCGATCAGACAATAGTTTAAAGTTGACCAAATGCATAAAAGTACATTAAATGATGCTCAATAGAAAGTAGATACATTTGTCTTTTAAGATACAACTGGCATATAAGTATCGTAATAATGCTATGTGGATAAACTGGTCGGGTTTCAAGAGCTAAATTGACAGGGCGTCATCACTACAATGGCTTCCATTTTTACGATTATAAAAATTGAGTGGCGTAATGGGGAGATAATTTTGATGAAGTAGAATCCTGACTGATTTGAAACTAACATAACTCATTATCAACATATATTTCAGTACACATATGGGAATATAAAGGTGGTTACCCAGTGTTAAACAATGCTACAGAAATCTACAGAACAGATCGGGTTAGTATATTGTGTCTTGCAATAATTTTTAAAAATATTGGGGATTGTTGATCAGTCAATTGATTGTATTGCATCAATCCACTTAGTCCTGGCATGAAATTGAACCATTGAAACCTTAGTGAAAAACCTGAGAATCATACCTACACAACTAAGAATCCCATAGGGGGTAAATTAAAAATAAATTTATATATTGAAATCTACAACAGAGTTTTTAGGTAATATGAGTTACTGTATTTCTAAGAAGCTATCAAGGTTTTTAGAGTTGACATCTGCATCATGTATCATATTATTTCTTTTTTCGAGATGAGACTTCTATTTTAAGCATGTTTGAGAATTATCTTTTAAACCATGTTGTTCTTTAACTATCAAATGGACTAAGATATTGCTGTCTCACTCTAAATCCAAGTCAGTAGAATAATATAGGAGTATCGAAAAAAAAACCTCAACACTGTCACATAAAAAAACTATGCTATATGGTTGCCTATAATTACTTACATCCACTTCATTTGAACTTGGGTGGATAGTTGTCTCATTGGCAATCATACCACATCTCCTTTTTTCATATGCTGTCTGCTTTCTTATTATAAAATTGAAGAGAGAAGTAAATCACTGATAACTGTTTTATGTTTTTTCTTTACTACCGTATATGAACAAAATAACATATGAAATCTGCAATTAAAACGCAACAAATGAAAATTTCAGATACCTTAAAAAAAGGCGCAAGCTCCATCTTACTCAGACAAGCATAGTCAAAAACATGTATCTTACTCTTGAGTGCACATGTACTTTAACCTAAAAATCATAGTCACTTTTAGTGACCTACATTTTTTACAATTAAGAATGTTCAGATTATTTTCAAACATTCTACCTTTTTGTTTAAATTTTTTTCAGGACTTTATAGAATACAGATTAGCCAGAAATAAAATGTTACGATCCAGGAAGAATCAGATCTTGTTAGCATTTAGTTTTTGGCCAAAACTTGAACCAAGAAATGGTAAAAACATTTATGAAATGAGAAGTTATACATTAAAGGTAAGAATCATTGTTAAATGATTTCAAGATAAATTCATTATTAACAAACCACATTAGAATAATGACTGTTTGTCTGTCGTATTTTTTCTTCAGGCTGTTATTTATTTATAAGAACATATTATTAAATTCGATCACCAGAAATCAGCAGGTTTCACATTAAATACTCAACACCAGCAAAATTTTTCACTGAATTACCATGTTTGCATAATTTATATGCTTTCTAAAAAATGGCAAGAAGATATGGAGAGGGCAAATCAAAACCAGAAGTTAAAAAAGCCTAATGAAAATATGAGAAAACAAACAATCAAGAAAACTTTAAAAAAAAAAAAAAAAAAAAAACATAAATAGGAGCGAATAAAGGTGCTCTGGAAGGGTAAACAGTTCTGCTCAACTATTGGGACATGTCATGTTGCTCATGTCTACAATAAAAGGGGGCCTTGTGTTTTCTGATCTGTGTGTATATCCATCATTTAGTCTGTCCTATATCAGGTTAAAGTGTTAGTGAAAAGTATTTAGTCTGAAAGTTGTTTAATATTTTACAACAAGAAATGAAAAAATAATTTTGTTTTTCTATTTATGACTATATACAAAGAAACTATACATGGGAATATTTTCTCTTATTATCTTGAAGTTTTTCATCATAAGCTATAAACAAGTTCATAATATCCCAGGGCCTAATCTAGGATTTTGGAGAGGGAGAAGTGACTTCTCCTTTCATGAGAGAGAAGGGAGAAGTGGTCAATTTCTTGGAGAAGTGAGAATCCATTACAGTTTCGGTTGCATAGTGTTCTCGTGCTTATCACTAAGGAAATTGTTTTATATGCAATAAAAAATATACTTGCAGTTTTTTCATGTTATTGTACAAAATTTATATATAGAAAGTTCTTAATAAAATGGTTTAGACAATATAGTTGTTATTTATTCATTGATATCATTTGTACTGTCAATTTGAATTTAAGTTTGAATAAAATTTGTTGCTTGGGACATGAGGGAGTAGCCTAGTAATATTATGATGCATTAAATTCTTGTGCATCTGCCTCAATTTATTTTTAAATGGCCAGAAAAATATGACTCCCAGTTTACCTGATGAATTTCACATGACTGGGAATTTAATTTATATCACCACTCGTCATTATTTTGTAAAACATTATTGAATGTCCAGGACATCATGTTACATGTAGTTGTAAATTGAGATTCTCGTTAAAGATTGTAAGCCTAGAAATGAAAATATCTGTCAATCACAAATTAATTAACCGATAAAGAGCTAATTTCTATCATTTTTTAAAGATATCTTCCCTATCAACGAAATGGTCGTGAAAAAAAAATCCACTGCTGATCACAGCTGGTCGAGTGTCGTACGTTTGCAATCACATTATCCATCAGCTGTCTTTCTACCTTGTATATTTCAATTTTTATTCAATGAATATTATAAAACTACCGTTAATTCAAACCCTTAACCTACCGAATAGTACAATTTGGTCGACTCGTAATAAATAAAAATAAAACAAATCTGCTGAGTGATTACGCAACATCCTCAGATAAAAATCATCGTAAAATGATAACTTTAACAGACAGTCAGTTTTCCGTTTGAATAGTTTTGAATGTTATATCCGAGAATTTTCAAAGTCGCAGTTGTCTTTATTTAATTTGATAGTCGACAGCATTAGTCCTGGGTCGTTTCGAAAATCTTGATTTTCCTTGTTAGTCGCCTTTTTTTTTTTTACCTGGGAGACTTGTAATTCACAAGTTGTCTCCCTTTTACAGATTTTCATAGTGATTTGACTTCGCCATGAAGTCAGTCCGCTGGCGAGATTTAGCGATTTTCAAAATTCTTTGGCGACTTAAATCGTCATTTCGCCGGCAAGATTATGGCCTGATATCCAGTAAATTAGCAAAATATTATCTCAATAAGGTATACATTTGTATTAGGTTTTAATAGAAATTTTCTATTTGCCCTGAAACCAGAAACACATTATTATAGCATACCAATTTTTATCTTAATAATTAATATATTAATTGTGTATTTTAGGCTGGCACAATGATAGAATGGGCAAACTGTTGGTGAGTATTTAAAACTATGTTACTTTTAGAGAAATCCTCACAATAAAAAGGGGAAGAAGTCTTTTAAAAAGATGAAAAATAGTAGGTGGGTAAAAAATAATAAAAGGAGATGTGGGGTATACATCGATGAGATAGCAACCTAATAACACAAAAAAAAAGATTTGCAGTCTTCAATACAAGGCCTTGATGTCCACATCATGATTAACGTACTCAGACTCAGAAATCAACCAATCAGAATACTGGATTTGTTGTTTCAAGCACATATTTTGTACTCCGAGTACTGAGTAAAGTTTTATGACCGAGAGCCCAGACTTGTGTTTAAACAATATGTCAAGCTTTAAAAAAAGTTGGGAATAAATTTAACAGAGATGTGCCATCAACACTAATTTCCCTAAACATAAAAAAACCATTAACAAGGTCCTGACTTGGGACAGGTACATGAACATGAAGCAGACGGCCACTTAAATGACTTTTATGCAAGTAGGTGCAGGTAAACATTTTGTTAAGCCTATTTGAATGTATATGTATGTAAAAGAAATATAGCAAAGATTTGGTCTTCATTACAATGTTTAAAGTGAATGATTTATGGCATTAAGGTAACGTTTGAAGAGTTAAGTAAAAATTATATATATTACAGGGGATCATGGTGAGCATCATCTGTTCAGATTTTGTTACTTTTTTATTCAGTTATAATCAATAAATAGTTGTCATTTGTTCATTTCAAAAAGTAAAGTTTCTTGTCATTTGAGAATTTTTCCATATTTGAAGGTTATTGTTCTAACTTTTGAATGGGAGCACATCAACGTGTTATTATAAATGCAGACAGCTATATAGATTATGAGTCATTTGGAGGACAATTTAGATTTCAGATGATGTCAAAAATGTAACCATGTCTATGACAATTTTGAAGTTGTTTAATATTTTTATCATTGTACATTGTATTTGTTTACTAATGATTTTAGGATTTTACAATGAATTATACATATTCCAAGATGAGCAAGTTAAATTTATCAAGCAGATAAATTCTAAGAATTTGATTCCAATAAAAAATGGAATATGTAGTGATAGCCTACTGGACTCGCATATATAATTTTTGGCATAACATGTTTACAACTTAATAGTTCAGATAACTAAAAAAAATGAAAGGATAGCTATCAGAATTTTTTTTTTAAATTAAGTATCTACTGACCCAAATGAGTATGTGAAAAAAAAACAATTTTAATTAAAAAAAAAATATTTGAATATTCTTTCAGGTGATTCTGTATTAAAAGGCAATTACACTTTAAGCAGACAGTTTAGTTTTTTCCTACAGGTGAACCAAGGGCCTCATTGAGCATAAACTGAGAATACTAGATAGAAGAAAAAAACTGCTACCATAGTTTTTTGGAAGCAGTTTTAATACTTGAATACATGTGTTAAAAAGGTTCTGTTCATTTCAGAATTACATTTATAGAACATATTTATTCTGTTTCTTAGATACCAGTTTTTTTCATAGGTATGAAGGGACATCAGATCCATAACAAAGTATGATGTTATTAGAATGTACATATCTTACAAAAATTCTGAAAGATTTGTCTACCATACTAAAAACATGGTGTCAATTCTATGTAACAATAATTATTTTCAGACCTGCACTAAAAGAAATGTGGTGGTCACAACTAAGACCAAAAATAGATTGGGTTTCTACCCTAACCCTAAAGGTCAATCTTTGTCTCTAGATATTATTCAAAAGGAATCAAAACTACTGTTATTGCTATTTTTGATATACATCATTTTTATTTCAACTGTTTAGTTTTCTAGCTACTTAATACATCTGTTCGTCCATCGTTTCTGTAATGGGGTTAATTGGTTATAGGTTGCATTAACAAAAGTGTAAAGGTCCTTTTCAGTAATCATTGACCACTCAGGTATTTGGTATACAGATACTTTAGCTTCCAAACAGTTTATGAGGCCCAGCCTCTCAGTCAAGCTTCAGTGATTTCATAAATTTAATTTTTTTCAATTGTTGAATTAAAGATAACATTGATATGAGGTTGAGTCAAGGTTTTTAACTCTTGTGCTGAATGTCAATTTAGCAACAACAACAAATCTGAAATAAGGCAAATCTCTTTAAAAGTCATATAGTGTCCTCAAGAGGAATATTAAATATAGAATTTTTTCATCTTACACATAAGTTTGGATCAGCCAGCAAGTAGCTCAGTGGTGTAAAGAACTTCGGCAAAGCACGTAGAAGCACAATCTATTATTTTTTGCCTTTTTATGACACCATAGTTGTTTCTGTTTTTATTTTATGTTATGTAAAGATTTTTGCCTTGTGTGAACAAAGATGGTGCCGTGCAGTTTCTATGTTTTTCTAATTTTTAATCCCAATTTTAAGGGCTAGAGGTATACAGTTCAGAGGACAGGGAGAAGATCCTGTACTGGGTGTATTTTCACAGATAGGGGACTTATATATGGTCCACCATGTATGGGGTAAGTGAGTGGACCTGACTCAGTCCACATCTGCAAGCTTCACCCTCATAATACAGAAAATATTTCAGTCAATTTCAGAAATGCAAATGTAATAACAATACATTTTGAAAGCTTAATTGCTACTGTCATGTCCAGTTTTGAATTTTTTTGAATTTTATTTGGCTTAAAATGTTTGAAATCATATCCATATTTGACTTGTCAATTATAAATTCTTGATTCAAAATTTAAATTAAAACAAATGTATTGTTATTATAGTTAGTTAGTATTGTATAGGGAATTTTCAAGTTTGTTCTTTCACCAGAAAAAAAAACCCCAAACATTTAGTCTTCACTCATGTCCACAGGCCCACCAGCCTAGGCTTGTAAAATTTCTATCGGGCCTCAAAGAATTTCTAATACCTGCCAATTGAATCTATACAAAATTATCCAAAACATGTCCGTCAGGGCTGTGGCTTCTAAAGTTGATTGTGAACACTAAATAGGTGCACCATTATAATATCTATGTACTTTGTACCATGGTACTAGTGAACAATAATCAATCATTCAAGATATTTTTCTATTCTTCTTCAAACCAGTCATGAAATAGTTAATATTCAAGAACATACCTAATTCTCTTTGCAGAAGGACCAATTAATAAATATTTTTCCTTTCGAATGTCTTATGTTGTTTGACAACAAAATTGTTTCATAGATTCTTTGATCATGTCACTAAATTTAAAAGTAACAAATATGTTGAGGGGTTAGCAACAAACTAGAAAATTCCCTGTCAGAAATTGGCTGGAATGATTCATGTTTACTAATATGTTTTGATATTATTTGTGTGTATGTTTTGTTTTTTGCATTTTGCTTGTGATACTTGTGATTGTATAAAGCAAAATGTCAATAAGAAAATAACATTAATGTACCACACGTTTATAGATATAAATTTTTTTTATACTGTTGAAGATATTCAACATTAAGAAAATCTTGATATGTGTAAATGAGAAAAAAAAGTTGGTTATATTTTATTGACATTTTGTTTATGTACATTTTTTGTGTCATTTAATATATGATTTTGCTTAAAGATTTGAGTTTTATGTAAACTATTTCTGCATGGCAATTTTTGTGTATGAAATTCTGATCTGAAATTCATATTGTATTTTTGTTTGTTCATGTAATACACAATGTATTTTCATTTCCTAAATTGAAAGTATCTTTTTCATCCTTTGTAACAAAAATCCATTTATTTTCATTTGCTACATTCATAATAAGCTTTTGCTTATTGGTTTCCTAAGCAGAGATATTTTTGTTATAGCCTATAATGAAGCAATTAAGACATAATTGATTTTATTTGTAAGTGAACATTATTATACGGGATTCCTATAATTGAAGCTTAAATTGCTAGGAAACTTTGTCACCTCCACCTTCAGTATTTTTTCTGACGATATAATACAAATAGTTTATTCTGTTTAAACTTGGTTTTAATATATACTCACCATTTTGGAAAAAGTAAGATTAGAAAATATTTAGAATGTTGGACATCTCCTAACTTGACAGGCAAGATAACAATGTAGACAGTCTTCCAAAATAAATTTATAATTTGCTTTGCTGAGGAAGTCGGAAGTTCACAAAAATTGTTTTGAATTTTGTTCTTGCATCTTTGTTTATTCAGTGACCACTCTGACATTTACCGTACAGCAAAATGTTCTAAACAGTGGATAATCAACCAATGACAAAGTAATTTCATTTTGATGTCCAGACATTGAAATTAACCATAATCCTTGAGATTCTGAAACAGCCAATCATGATACTGGATCCTTAAGATAAATAGTATAATAAGATGTTCAAATATAAATGATATAAATACTAATGCTTATGTAAATTTAGTAATGCAATAATAATCAATTTCAGTATGAATTGCTTTCATTTAAAAATATGAGTGACTGATAATTAGTGTTAAAGCGCAAATGCATTGAAAAATAGTCTTAAAATATGCAGTTTTAAAGTGATTCCCCTTCCTATTACTAATAACTAATTTCAACAGAAACAAATGTATTGAAAAGTATAAAGACCTGTCAAATAGATTCTTTGTAAAATTTAAAGATAAAGTTTATGATATACACCTCAATACAATTGTTTCTGAAATAGTCATTGTATTTAGGAACAGATGATTCATGCAAGAGATACTATCTGATCATCTGTGCTTGTATAAGAGTTGCTTAGAGCCTCATTTGTTTTGTGCTTTTGCATGTTATTTTCAGTTTTACATCATGGCTTGTGCAGAATTTTATATGTACAGTGCAGTGCTGTTTAGGAGATTGATTTCCTCATAAAATTTTCTCATGCATGCAGAACTATTAGTTTTCAGGTCGAAACCTCTTGTTGAATGACTTTTTTTCGTTGGGGATTAAAACCTATGACAACTATTGAGAATGCTTCAGATAAGATTTTGATTTGTTGCATAGGGCCCGTGGTATAGAAAACAGGAAGACAAATAACGAGCCTGTCGGTGGTTTCTTCTCACATCTGGGAGAACAATATGTTGTACATCATCTATGGGGTATGTTTTCTCTTTAGCATGTGACATCCCCGAGTACAGTATTGTTCCTTTTCCAATGCCTGCATAATTGTTATTCCAGTGCATGATGGGTGAAAATCTAAAAATCATTAGGTTGATTTGTTTACTGGCATGTTCTAATCAAAGTTCATTGAGAATTCAGACTGAAATGCACTAGTATTATTTACAAATTAAAATAACTACACATTATAGCACTGATTTTCAACTAATTAAAAGCACTATAATTAAAATATAAAAAAAAATTATAAGCACACCTTTATACTATATATTGTATTTCTATTAACATGACTGTATTTTTGTGAATATATTTCCAAAACAGAAAGTACATTTATATACATTTTAATAATGTTTAATCAGTCATTTAACCCAACAAAAATGTCACATTTTAAGTAAGGGCTATTCCATTAAACTGTATGTGGGAGGGTAGGAAAGGACTTTCAAAATATCCCTACAAACAAGAACCATTTTTTAGATAATTTTGCAAAATGGTAATAGACGCATACTGAAAATAGACCCATGGCCCACATTCAATAATTAAACTTCCCTTCCTACCTTCCCACAGCACTTTGTAATTTCTTTCAAAATAAGAATAAAGTGATGTAGTATGATTGCCAATGAGACAATTATCCACCAGAGGCATAATGACAAACTATAGGTCACCAAATGGCTTTCAACAATGAGCTATACCCATAGCTTATAGTAAGCTTTGAAAGGCACCAGCATGAAAAAATGGGACAATAGAACTGACAAAAGTTTAAATACCTTGACCAAGAGGAGATGACTCTGTGGAAATGTTTCATTTGGTTTGCAATAAAACTATAAACCAAAAACAAATATGACAGACAGCAAACAACTACAACCACTGAATTACAGGCTCATAAAGAATGGGACAGATGATGTGTAAATATGTACCAGGGTATTTCATTTTGAGCGAAATGACTAACCCTTTCTTTGTTAATTTTTCATGTAAAAATGTATTTTTGGTTGTCTCAAAAAAGTACTAAAATTAAAGGTTGAACTTTCTTTCTTTCAACAGTCAAAATTTTATTCAATTGATATTATATATATAAATATGGACTGAATTAAAGACTTTTTTGAAAAAGTAATTGAGGCCTAATTTTGTACCTTTTTTAAGTAGTGTTTCATTTCCTTTATAGGATATACAGATTTACAAACCCGTAAAGAAACAAGAGAAGCAGCATGGGGAAGACCAGGCTGGGATGAATGTGTAGCTTACACAGGTAAACATATATATTGCACATATAGTTGTAGATGAACATAACTTTACTGTTCCATCTTGCTGTGGATTCATTATTATTCATTGGTTACCAATTTTTTGGTTTTTCCTTGGTACCTGGAAACCACAAATTTAAATATTTAACAAATTACACATTTTTGTCTCGCTTGACGGAGTCAAAAAGCGAGACATATGTATGCTGTTTCCGGCGTCGGCAGCGTCAACAATGTATTAGTTTGTGATTAGGTCTGGTTTGTGGTGAACCACAAGTTGTAGGTCAATCATTTTTGGTATACAGTTGTATTAGCATAGGCACATCTCATTTCCATGGAGATTATTTGGCCCTGCTCCCTTAGTCATGGTCTATTGACTTTGAAACTTTTGCTTATTTTACATGTATTAGTTTGTGATTTGGTCAGTTTATGGGGAACCATTAGTGGTAGGTCAATGATATTTGGTATACAGTTGTATTAGCATTGGCACATCTCATTTCCATGGAGATTATTTGGCCCTGCCCCCTCAGTCATGGTCTATTGACTTTAAAACTTTTGCTTATTTTACATGTATTAGTTTGTGATTAGGTCAGTTTATGAGAAACCATTAGTGGTAGGTCAATGATATTTGGTATGCAGTTGTATAAGCATTGGCATATCTCATTTCCATGGAGATTATTTGGCTCAGTCCCCTTGGTCATGGTCTATTGACTTTGAAAATTTTGCTTAGTTAACATGTTTTAGTTTGTGATTAGGTCAGTTCAAGGGGAACCATTAGTGGTAGGCCATTGTTAATTGGTATTCAGTTGTATAAGCATTAGCACATCTCATTTCAATGGAGAATATTTGGCCCCATCCCCTCAGTCATGGCCTATTGACTTTGAAACTTTTGCTTAGTTTACATGTATTAGTTTGTGATAAGATCAGTTTAAGATGAACTGCTAATGTTAAGTCAATGATATTTGGTATGCAAATTTATTGGCATTTGTAAGTATCGTTTCCATGGAGATTATATAGCTCCACCCCTCTTCATAGTTCATTGACTTTGAAACTTTTACATAGTTTACAAGTTAATGTTTGTGTTTAGGTTTGTTTAAAGGGAACAACTTATAATAAGTCAATGATATTTGGTATGCAGTTGTATTAGCATTGGCGCATCTCATTTACATGGAGATGGTTTAGCCATGTACCTCAGTCATGGTTCATTGACTTTGAATATTAGCCTAACTTGTTAAGTATTACCATTTTAATTTCAACATTTGCATAATCAAAATTACAAAAAAGCAAGACATATCTCTGTGATAACAGTTTATGAATATAATGTAGTAATGTATGCAGAATTAAGCAAAACCAAATATCCATGAAAATGCAAATTTTATTCAATCCACAAAAATTGGTACCAACAAAATTAGATGAATTCACAGTATTTGAAAATTATTTTGTTAGGGGAAAGTGTGTATTTGCTTTAATGATGTTTTAATAAATATAAGAAAAGCAAATGAAAATACATAAAAGCAGTTCTTAGATTAAAGGCATCATTTTCCTAAGAACATACAATTTTAATTAGAAACACAATGCACTGTTTTGTGAAAAGTTGTTTCCAAACCTACCAAAAAAAAAATAAGATGTGGTATGCTTGGCAAAGAGATAATCATTAACCAGAGATCCCATGACGTAGAAGTAAGCAACTATAGGTAATCGTACAGCCTTCAACAATGAGCAAAAACCATACTGCAAAGCAAGCTATAAATCGCCCTGAAATGATGAATGTACAAAATTTTAAAACAGAAAATAAACAGCCTGATTTATAAGCAATAAACAAAAAAACAATTATGATATACAGCAACAAATGAAAACCACTGAATTACAGGCTCCTGACTTGGGACAGGCACATACAGAATGTTTTTGGGTTAAACATGTTTTCCGGCAGCCAACCCTCCCCTATCCTGGAACAGTAGTGTAACAGCACAACATATAAGAACAAACTAAACAAAAATCAGTTAAAAAGGGCTAAACTTATCAGCCTATTTATTATCTATTTTATTACCATTGATAAGACATATGCTGTCTAGAATCCTGATACCTACACCGTTCTCTAACTATACTTATTATCTATTTTAGTACCATTGATAAGACATATGCAGTCTAGAATCCTGATACCTACACCGTTCTCTAACTATACTTATTATCTATTTTAGTACCATTGATAAGACATATGCAGTCAAGAATCCTGATACCTACACCGTTTTCACCTCTCCAGTAGGCAAGTTACTCAGGGAGAACGTACAACGTTCAAAGATTGCATTATAGACTAAACAGTATACACAAACACAGAATCTTAAAAGTTGTTGGATAAAACATCCATTTCTTGGGTAGTTGTAATTTTAAAAAAGAGTTGATAGAAATACTTGTATGTTATATCAGACGTTTCAAATATACATTTTTTCTTTGTTTTCATTCTGAAAGGAGCATGAATTTTTTTTAAACAGATAAATAGAAGCCTGTTTTATGTACATGTATTTGAAAAAATATAATATCACGATTATGTATTCAGACTAGAAGATTAACTTAGATAGTAGATATGTTAAAACAGAAATATGGTCAATTCATTGAGTAGCAGATTTCAATAATAAAAACCTATAAACATGTAGCAGAATAGACTATTTTCATATTACCGACTTTTGACTCCGGATTATATAATTTGTCGACTGGTTACCTTGGACATCATGGTACTCGGTCAAGTAAGAGCAGCCAACATAAGTAAAATCAAATATATAATCGGTGTAATTTGAGGGGAAAGTTTACTGTTTTCCGATGATTTTGTAGTGAAAAAAAAAATATTAACCAGGTAATTTTCCCCCAAAATTGTACCGATTGAAAGCTTGGTTTTACTTCTTTAGCTTGCTCTTACCTGACTTGGTACCATGATGTCCAAGGTAACCAGTCGACAAATTATATAATCCGGAGTCAAAAGTCGGTAATATGAAAATAGTCTATTTGAGAAATAGGAATACCAATCTTGTGGTGATGATGGTGTAAAACTATTTCATGATTTCATGATTCATTGGTCAATGTTAATTTTTTATGATCAGGTCAGTTTTTCATTAACTTTAAGTAAAGGGTCAACTTTATTTATTTTATAGAATCATTTAAGTTGTACATGTCTACCTGACAGGATTCATTTGACCTTGTCCTCAATTTAATGATTCATCAATGTTTTTGTGATACCTGTATTTACCCCTCGATCACAAAGACGTTCCAAATATCATTCAATCATTATCTGTAAAGCAGGCGAGACGTTTCAACATGTCAAATCTTTTTTGTTGATTTTGACATAAGATTTCTAGTAAGTTACATATATGATAAATGGTTTCACAAAACAAATTATGATTAATTGTGATCAGTTATGAGCTTTTGACTTTTTTTACAATTACAGAATACTTTACATTTTTGTAGAAATTTAAATGTGAATTTGGTATTTAGCATTATATGCAAAACAGACAAATAGACCTTCATCTGAATATCAAAAACTAAACTAAGAATTAAGGAAAAAATGAACTTCAAATTAAAACTATATGTAAGTAGGTTTGGTTATTTTAGTAGAATATGAAATTGACTATGATGGTTTTAAAGCTCCTAGTTGTTTTATTCACATTTTTTGTAATGTACATGTTTGGTCAGTTCTGGTCAAAGTTTATATATAATACAAGTACAAATGAGAAATGTTATTGAAATGAATTTTTGACATGAATTGACTAGCTGAGCAATTGTGTTTGTGAATGGTTTGTTAGTTTACCTATCCAGTTTTACTTGTAAAGATTAAATCAGAGTTATCTCCCCCTAGTCTCATATTTTTTTTAAGTATCCATATAATTTTTTTTTTGTATCTGGGTTGTATTTGGTGCATGTACATTATGGTTTGTGTTAATTGTTACAATTTAAATTTTCTCTTTTAATTATATTATATATTTTTTTTCATGGAATGAAATGACTTGTTGAATAATATAGTCTGTTTAAAAGTATTGAACCGACCGCGCGAGACCCTCATTGGTAGTCAAGGTTAGTTAAACACCCCCCTAGTAGTAAGTATTGCAATTTTACTGAAAACAGAAACATTTTAGGTATCGAAATGTAAAAATAAATAAGAATTTTTTTATAAAAATGAATTTCATGAAATTAAGTTTTTAATATTTTTTTCTTTTGAAAAAGACCAATTATGTATTTATATTGGAAAGACTTATTACAGAGTTTTATAGTACTTGTGAAAAGTAATTGCAATACATATAGTTTATGTTTTCATATAAATTCATTTTGTCCATTTAATTTATTGTTTAACTGCACTATTTTTGGTGGTTTATTTTAATAAAAATATGAATTGTAAACAAATTGAAATAATCTTTTAGTATTTAATTATGCAAATAACTTTTGATTTATTTAAATAAACTTTAATTATTAAGCATTATGTTGTAGAGGATTGTTATAAAACGTCTTTTTTTAGTTTGACTCAAACTGAAACTGCTAACTTAAAAGAAACAGGTCTGTCATTTTATAATAAAAATGTATTTTGAAGACAGTGATCTTGAAACATGAGAAAGTTAGAAAATAAAAATACAGTCTACATCTGTCATATATACACTAGATCTTATTATTCACACACAGTCTGTGACGGCATGATATAGTCTATAAACACACCTGTATTCACTTTCCTAGATGTGTGTAATATAGATGGAATATATTTTAAACAATAAATTGTTATTTAAGTGAGAATCTTGACTTTTCATTTATAGACGACATTTTGTTTCAGTAAAAACAAAATATTGGTGTTGAATTGGTTATTTTGTTTTCTAATTCGCTGATTCAGAATTTAAAAGATGTGGGTAATTTGGAAATAACTGTACTTGATTGGTCGGATATCCATTGTTTATGATATTGTTAACCAATCACAACATTTTTTGTGTACCCTATGGAAAATATTACCCAGAATGCATTAGATTCTGAAATGGAGAATTTACATAACATAATTAGATATATTTGTGAACTTTTTTTACCTATAATGGTTTACTTTTACAAATTGTGACTTGGATGGAGAGTTGTCTCATTGGCACTCATACCACATCTTATATCTATTTGAAGTGATTTACTCTCTAAACATTTATTAATTGTCTAGTTACATTTATCATGATGGTGAACTACACATGACAGACTGTTGAGGACTCCTTTAGTTTACATTCTTTCTCTTCACATACTAGGAAAAAAGTAAAATAACAAAAATACCGAACTCCAAGGAAAATTTAAATGGAAAGTCCCTTATCAAATGGCAAAATCAAAAGCTCAAACACATCAAACGAATGGAAAACAACTGTCATATTCCTGACTTGGTACAGGCATTTTCTTATGTAGAAAATGGTGGATTAAACCTGGTTTTATAGAGAGCTAAACCTCTCACTTGTATGAATATTAATCATAAGTTTTTTTACATGACAGGTGCCAAAAGCAGTAGGTGATATCTGTTGCCTCGCTTGCCAGAGAATAGTACACCCTAATATTTTAATAGAAAAACAAAGGATATGGGGTATCAATCCATGACACAAAATCAGTACATGCACAGCAAAAAAACATACAAAATTCAAAGGAATAGGGCTTTTATTGCTGTTCTTCATCTCAGTCACAATGAGGCCTTCAAAACTGAGCAAAAAACTCTCACCTCACTGCAAGTTTAAGACAGTCCCTAGCACCCGCTTGAGTGGAATTCTTTGTTCATGTTCCATAGTCTTCAGTATAACTTTCTTATGTTTTGATGATTATTAATTGTCTTTTGTCTATTTTTATGCCCCACCTAGGGGCATTATCTTTTTTGGTCTGTGCGTTCGTCCATCTGTCCCGCTTCAGGTTAAAGTTTTTGGTCAAGGTAGTTTTTGATGAAGTTGAAGTCCAATCAACTTGAAACTTAGTACACATGTTCCCTATGATATGATCTTTCTACTTTTAATGCCAAATTAGAGTTTTGACCCCAATTTTATGGTCCACTGAACATAGAAAATGATAGTGTGAGCGGGGCATTAGTGTACTATGGACACATTCTTGTTTAAGTTCTGATTTTATTCATTTAATTTTTTTATCATAAAAAAGACCTTTTCTCTTAAAAATAAGCCCGAGAATTTCTGCCTCTATTGGTACCAAGTTAATTAAAATCAAAGTCAAAGGACAGAGAACACTATGACAAAAACATGAAGACAAAAAACAGCTCACAAAACTCCATACACAAAAATAGATTCAGCAACAAGGATCCCACCATAAAAACAAGGTAAAATCAGGAGCTCTGGGAGGGTAGGTAGTTCCTCTACAACTAGTAGCACCAGTCAAGTTGTTCAAGGACTTGTATTGTATGGCTGCTGTTTCAATGATGTTTATGCAACATCTTCTTTAATTCAAAGAGTATATGCTGTAGTTCATTTTAGTTGTGTTATTTGATATATACATACAATGTATATATAAATATGATATTAAAATTATATTTCTGGGCCACTGACATCGCAAGGAATAACCTCAGTCTAATCGTCTCCAAATTTGTCATGTATGAGACAAAAATGAAATTTATAGGCTATCCTTTTAATTTTAATTTCCAATCTGATATAAAATGAAAAATGGTCATCTTTGACTGCATTAAGCAATCTATCTATCATCTTGCTATGACAAAGTTTTCACTGTTTGTTATTGAACACAATTCCTTTTCTCTTTGATGGTGAAACTTGGTCTCTACCTATAAGATACTGGTGGTATGTGTAGTTCTTCTTTGAAGTTACAGAGAAATGGGTGGAGCTGGAAAGAGAAATTACAGATCAATATTCTAATAACAAATGTTATATTCTATTCATTATGGGTATACAATTTTACAATTTGTCATTAAAAATAAGTTATCCAACAGGATTTATATGTGTATTTTATACAATGTATGTTTTTTGTACTTCCAAAACTTGTCCGTATATTTTGTAGACTAGAATTGTCTTTTTACCCTTATTCGTCATTCTGCAACGAATATTTATACAGACTTTTTTTCAAAGCGCCTTCACATATTGAGCTGATTTTAGTATGTTAGTCTACTATGATGAGTTGCAGATCGAATTTACATTTGGTTCCACTCCATTGATTTTTGACGAAATTACGAGCTTTAGACTTTGAAAATTTAATGAAAATAGCAGTTATATGGACTTTTTTTCTAAACTCTTACATATTAGGCTGATTTTAAGTATGTGAGTCTACTATGATGAGTTACAGATCGAGTTTACATTTGGTTCCCCTCCACTTTTTGACAAAATTTCAGGCTTTGGACTTTGAAAATTTTATGAAAATGGCAGTTATACAGACTTATTTTCTAAACACCTTCATATATTGAGCTGAATTTTATGGAGCCATCTATGATGAGTTACAGATCAAGTGTACCTTTGCTTCCCCTCGCTGATTTTTGTCAACATTACAGGGTTCAGACTGAATATTTCATGAAAATAGCAGTGATATAGACTTTTTTTCTACACTCTCACATATTAGGCTGATTTTTAGTATGTGAGTCTACTATGATGAGTTACAGATAGAGTTTACATTTGGTTCTTCTCCACTTTTTTGCTGAAATTACAGGCTTTGGACTTAAACGCCTTCAAATATTGAGCTGATTTTTAGTATGTGAGTCTACTATGATGAATTACAGATCACGTTTATGTTTGGTTCTGCTCCATTGATTTTACGGGCTTTGGACTTTGAAAATTTTGTGAAAATAACAGTTACACAGACTTTTTTCTAAACACCTGCATATGTTGAGCTGCTTTTTATAAGTTATAATTTGAGTTTATGTTTGGTTCTGCTCCATTGATTTTGGTTGAATTACTGGCTTTGGACTGAAAATTTTATTAAAATAGTAGCAATATGGATTTTTTTTCAAAACTCTCTCATATTAGGCTGATTTTTAGTATGTGAGTCTACTATAATGAGTCACAAATTGAGTTTATATTTGGTTCCACTCCATCGATTTTAGCCGAAATTACAGGCTTTTTGATTTTGAAAATAACAGTTATACAGACTTTCATTCTCAAATTTCCACTCATAAAAATGGCTTAAGCATTTTTAGCGAAATGGCCCATTCGTGTCATTGCAACACATCTAGTTTTTCAACATGTATTCAACATATTTTTATATCTGAATTACATATATATGCTAATTTTATTTGAATACCAGAAAATTCAAAGTGTTGAAGGAAAATTTAAGGCTTTGGAAATATATATAATGTCATCTATTGATATCAAAGTTTATGAAAATTCTAGCAATAAAAGGATATAGCTTACTGTACTTTGAATGTGAAAAGAGTTAAACTATATTTACATACTTCTATCTCATCATTACTGTTTGCCTGTAATCTGTTAAGTTCCATTTCATACTGCTGTACTGTACTGTAAGAAAGGACAACATTCATAAGATAAATAGAAGATCAAAAGGCTTTTAGGCTTTGTCAAGGTAGGTCCATACAACAAAATAATTTGCTTCACATGCCATTTTTTTTGGAGAGGCATCTAAAAAACCAAGACTACCTGACAACTGTTGGAGTACTCCCTGTACCCATGTGAATGTCAGCAGCTAGTTCTTAAAAACTATAAACATACAAATAATTACAGACACACACTAAGGAGTTGTATGGGCTGAATTCCTCTCTCCCAAATTTCATGTTATTTAAGATTTCAAGATTCATTATTTTCTTCTTCTTTTTTTTTATATCAATTTAATACACTATTAAACTAACTCTCCTTTGGCTTCTATTCTTGAATTATTTCTTATTTTCAAAATTATTATTATACTTTTTATTAAAATTGCAAACATTTAGACAAAATGAGAATTTATTATTATTTTCTTTGAAATGCACTTGCTGATAACATTTTATCTTATTTGTAAATGAAACTGATAAAACTTCCATAAATCAAAGAAACTTTGATTATTCTAAGGGAGATAACTTTTGCTCATACAATAGAGTCAACTTAAGGGAACATAATAACATTACAAATTACTGCAAATCAACATTTTATTGACTAATAAAGTGAATTGTAATATTAACTGCCAACTGAAACAGGAACTACACAACTCGCTGAACTTTTTGTTATAAAAATAGTTGATGTTGCTAATGGTGTTGCATAAAAGACTATAAAAAATAAGATGTGGTATGATTGCCAATAAGACAACTCTCCACCAGAGAGCAAATGACATACGGTAGAAGGTAACAACTATATGTGATTATTTTGTTTTGCTCAAATGCACCTATGTGATAAAAGAAAAGGGAAAAGAAAGAAATTTGTGACAGAAGACTGAAGATATTTGGTCAACAGCTACCTGTATATATCACTCGAGCTTATCACCCATGTGGAAATGGTTTGAGATTCACTCTGGTCATTTGTAAAAACAAAAAGGTTGGTGTAATCTTAAACCAGGTATAGTTTGTAAAACTTTTTTTCAAAATTCATTGATTCAAATCAAACACTAGATTTTCCTACACCAATAAAAGTGCTTGTACTGATGTTCTATGACTGTCTTGTTTTTATTCTGTTTCAAGCCTTAACACTGATGTTCTATGACGTCTTGTTTTTATTCTGTTTCAAGCCTAAACACTGATGTTCTATGACGTCTTGTTTTTATTCTGTTTCAAGCCTAAACACTGATGTTCTATGACATCTTGTTTTTATTCTGTTTCAAGCCTAAACACTGATGTTCTATGACGTCTTGTTTTTATTCTGTTTCTGAATGAATAATTTTTTTAAGTATATAATTGTAAAATAAATTTTGTCAATCTCTGTATGCTTTTAATAAACAAATCTTACTTTTCTTCCTCTCGAACAACCTCTTCTAGAATTTCTTCATGGTTAGCAACATTCTGCGATTCTCCAGCGGCTGTTCTCTACAATATTTTTTCAGAAAGTGAAATGTGTCACATAAAAGCTCTCTGTAAACATACATTGTTTGCTGTCTTTCATTATCGTTTCTCATTTATAAGTCTTCTTTAGTTTTCTATGTTGTGTCATCTGTACTATTATTTGTCTGTTTGTCATTTTATTTTTGGCCATGGCCTTGTCAGTATGTTTTCGATCTATGAGTTTGACTGTCCCTCTGGTATCTCTGTCCCTCTTTTATTGTTTTTATTGTGAATCAAGGATACATTGTTCGCCGTCTTTCATTATCTTTTCTCATTTATTGTTTTTATTGTGAATCAAGGATACATTGTTAGCCGTCTTTCATTATCGTTTCTCATTTATTGTTTTTATTGTGAATCAAGGATACATTGTTCGCTGACTTTCATTATCATTTCTCATTTATTGTTTTTATCGTAAATCAAGTATACATTGTTAGCCGTCTTTCATTATCGTTTCTCATTTATTGTTTTTATAGTAAATCAAGGATACATTGTTTGCTGTCTTTCATTATCATTTCTCATTTATTGTTTTTATCGTCAATCAAGGCTATTGGTTTCTCTTTTAAATTGTTTTACATTTTGTCATGTTACTGCCTTTTACTACTTACTATACAGTTTGGGCTTTGCTCATTGTTGAAGGCCATACTGTGACCTATAGTTGCTCATATCTACATCATTTGGTCTCTGATTGGTAGTTGTCTCATTGGAAATGGCAAAAATACCACATCTCCTGATTTTCATATTGTTATTTCAAGTGTGTTGTCTTACTGTACTTCCAATTTTTTTAACTCAAGAAAGAATTATTTATGTGAATGTATTAAGAAAAGAGTAAGATGAATTGAAATCACAACATACTAAGGACTCTCAGGAACCTCTATCCCTCATCTGTCAATCTCTTAGTAAACTAGATATCATTGAGATGGGAGCCATCTCTGTGGGCCCCGCTGTGAATAATGTGTGGTAAAAAATTAGTATCTTTAGCATTGGATATGGGGTTGTCAACTGAAACCGGTTTATGACCTTGACCTTTGACCTAGAAAGTTGTATATAAATTATGACACACCCTCTGGTGTTGGTTTATATACATGTCAAGTATAAACGTTGAAATCATAACGGTTCTCAAGATATAGAGCAGACACGATCTGTACCATAGGACATGGGGTTGTCAACTAAAACCAATGTTTTTGACCTTGACCTTTGACCTAGGAAGTTGTACATACATTATGACACACCCTCTGGTGTTGGTTTATATACATGTCAAGTATAAACTTTGAAATCGTAACGGTTCTCAAGATATAGAGCGGACACGATCTTTACCATAGGACATGGAGTTGTCAACTAAAACCAAAGTTTTTGACCTCGACCTTTGACCTAGGAAGTTGTACATACATTATGACACACCCTCTGGTGTTGGTTAATATACATGTCAAGTATAAACTTTGAAATCATAACGGTTCTCTAGATATAGAGCGGACACAATTTGTTACGGACGGACGGACTGATCACTATAGGGCATCTGCCAATCGGCGGGGCCCTAATTATTCATACCAGGCATGATCTTGTAGTTTGTCAGAAGTTGATTCGCAGGTTTAAAATTGATAAATGGTTTCATATAACTGGTTTAAAAAAGTATTTTCTAAAAATTATTGATATAAAACTGTGTTCTAAACATGAGCTCCTGACATGGATTTTAGACAGGGTAACTGAATATGTATCTCAAATAGGCACAGTGTAGATACTATTCTGTACGCTATCTGGAAGTCAGGATTTTCGAAGCGATGATTTCCAACTGGCTAACAGGACGGTTTTACCTACAGTGACTTTTTTCATCATTTGTTTACTCCTTTATCTATAAAGTGCTTTGAACATCTTCAAGGTATGTATAGCATCATAAATATGAGTAACTGTAACAAAAACATGCATAAGAATATAAAATATACGTGTGCATCACACCAACTTGATAGAAAAAAGTGAAATCGATGGACAATTTTGCTCTCGTAGTACAAAGCAAATAATCTTTTAATGCAAATATTTGCATCAGTTGACAGTTAAATATATACTGTTTCAATATTCTTTTCGTATTTAAGTAGAATATTCGTATTTCCCATAAAAAAATATGTTTTCCTTGAGGATCCCAAAATAAATTACTGTACGATCAGTCTAGAACTGACTGTATTCTAGAAGCGATTTCAGATTTTTTTACTGTATGACCAGTCGTGATTTTGAAAAAGAAACAACGGCAATTTGAAGGTATATACGTGTCTATGTGATATTATGAACTGTCCAGGGAACTATAACGTGTAATTTCTTTCATCAGACAATACAAATGTATTTCTGATGATTTTTGTAGACGGCATTTGTATGGGAACATATATTTGGAATCCCTTTTCTCCTGGATTGGACCCCCTCTCCACTTAAAAATGGCTGGAACCCACAATGTATATTAAGTGGTTTATGAGGAGATGCACTTACAAAACCGACGAAACATATTGTACCGGTCCAACGGAAAGACGGACTTCATTATCACTATAAACCCCCGCTTTACAAAGTGGTGTACAATTGAGTGTCAAAGAGACAGCTCTACATCCAAAACAAAGTGAAGGAACTGTGATCAATTATAGGCTACAGTACGGCCTCGAATGTGTGTAAATACATGCATTTTTATATAACAATTAAATCTGTGTGTTTGTACATTTTTATTAAGTATAACGGAGGACATTTCTGAAACTTATATATACAACAAACCTTCCTCTTATTTTAGCAACATTTAAACATCCTTATACTTAGTGTAGTAAGTCTAGTACACCCCATCAAGCTAAAACATGTTTCATAAGTTTTCAGGATGTGAATTTATTGAAATATATTTGTGTTATTTAGAAAAATGCCACCTTCTAATGTATCGTAAATAACTTTGAAATCACCACTAGAATACAGTGAAATAAAGACTGATCATACAGTTTCAAAATATACAAGCGAGACTGATCGTACAGTGAGAAATTCAAACAAGTGTAATTTTTTTATTTCTGGCTTCAAAGATCTGGTTGAAACTTTTACCACCACTTGAAATATACTTCATTTAGTTAATTACGTCTGGTTTTTACGTTAATTTGTACCTTAAGAGGGTAAAAAGATTGTTTTTAGGTTCACCGACTGATTTTCCTTAGTGATGCACTTGAAAATCTCTTGATTAAGGCAAAGATACGAATAATGAATGTGCTGAATTTAATTCTAAACCATTTGAGAATATCGATGTCAGCTGAATTAATCATTAAGCAATGTACAGATGATCAACTTACCGTTTAATTCAGTATATCCATCAAATTTAAAATGTGATCCAAAAAGTTCTCGCTTCGAAAATCAAGACTTCCGAGTAGCGTACAGAATAGTATTTACACTGTGATAGGACCATAGATGGACTACAAGGGGAAGGTGCCAAAACTTGTGTTAATCATTTAAGTCAATTACTAAATGGGAATTTGGTATAAAATATTTTTTCTCAAACATTTCCATTTATCATTATTATTATTATTAGTCGGTAGAGTGGGTGGCGCATATTCGCCGTGGACACATTTTCACCGTTTTTGCCATTTTTTCTGTAAATTTTGTGTGCCTTTACACAATGCTTGCCTACATAGATGGTAAACGCTGTTTGTAATGTTCAAACTGTTGATATTCCTCTTTACCCCATTTCCAAAGCTATTTGCACATATAAAGAAATACGCAGGTGTTTTTGAACGATTTTGGCAATAATGTCAGATTTATATGGCACGCATGCGCAGTCATAAAGTAAATATTTGTTAGAAAAATCGTATAGGAATGATCTCTCAAGCTAATTCATGTAATTCCAAACAATTATTTTTATAATATACCAGGATAATGAGGATGGTCATATCATACATTACGGCGAAAATGTGTCCCCAATGGTACAAGAACAACTTGATTTCCTCTTGAGTTTGCGTTCATTTTTAAAACATTTAACCAATGTTTTGAAGAGAATTCCTTTATCAAACTTTTTTTTCATATAGTAAACTTTTTGAAACCTATATAAAAAGTTTCAAATATTCGAATGTAGGTGGAAATGAACGAATTTTGTGGCGAATATGCGTCACCCACTCTATATGGCATCAGGTATATTTCTGAACCAATTTTTGTAAAATCACCTTTCCCACATTTTGTTCAAATGGCCTAAAAAAAATTGATTTAAACAATTTTAAACATCTAATAAAAAGACAAAATGGTGGTTGATTGTCAAGGTGCTTGATCTTTATTGGCTTGATAAATACTGTAACCTGACAAACATGTTGTCCTTTGATTGGTCTATATATTGGTTTAATCAAAAGTTGCAGACTTCATGGGTGTCAAAATGTCAAAATGTCAAAATGTGACATTTTCCTGTAAAATGGAAATTAATATATCTATTTGGATTTTTCTTGGGTGATTTTTTATCCACATGGTTCTAAAGCATGACTGTATCCAATTTTGAAAGTTGCATTTTATCTCTTTCTTAAGCCAAAGCAAACAGATAATATAAATTTGTTTACCCTATTCGATGTTCTAAAGACCTTGTAGGTGAGAGTGTATGTAGTATATACCTGTATCTGTGCAATTTTCTTGATGTCTCCATAACTCTTCACTGGTGCTCTTAGTTTTTTCAACTGATCTTTAATGCTGAAAAAAGAAAGCAGTGACTTAATAATAGCACACCACGTCTAGATCTACATCATGTATTCAATTTGCAGGAAGAGAAATGAGAAATGAAGGGAGACAATTAGAGCATGGAAAGAATTGTTTTTCAAAAGAATATTAATATTACAAAGTTTAAACAAATCTACTCTAAAGTTTAGTGAGACATTGATTAATTGGCTGTTGTTGATTAACATCCAGTGTCAAATACTTCATGTATATTCAGAAAGAATTGTGACATTTGAAGGTTGTGACCACCAACACAAGGCAAAACTAATTACTGAGACTTGATTTACTGATAGGGGCCATAATTCATAGGCGGATCCAGGGGGGGGGGGGGGGGCTGGGGGGGGCCCGGCCCCCCCCCCTTTTTGTGGGAAAAATTTGGTTGATTATATAGGGAATCACTGAAGCATGACTGGAGCGGGCCCCCCTTAGATCAGTCAGCGGGCCCCCCCCTTATGAAAAGTTCTGGATCCGCCACTGTAATTAGTATACAGCTCCACCAGCTCAAGATAAGCTTGTCACATGCATATTGAAATTGTTGAAATAATAAAATGAAATATTGTAGAAGACATTAAATAAAAAGTCAGAAAAATGGCCTTGCAGACAAACTTGCAGGAAGATATACTTTAACTTTAAAAAGTCGTCTTAAATTTGATGGCTTCAATCCCATAACTCTTGAAAAGTAAATCCGATAGAGCTGCACCTTTGTCAAAACTACAAGAGTACTTACCCTTTTACTGTTTCAGACAATACATCTTGTAGATCGTCCACATTATGTCCTTCATTTGTTGCTTTGGACAATATAATTCTAAAAATAAAGCATGTAAAATTGTATATCTATCATTTTAATTGATGTCGTCCATGGTATAATTTGTATGTTTAGCATTCTTCACAAGGCTGCAATGATAGGTCACATGGTTATTAAGGTAGAAGAGTATAGGCAATAAATGAAGCTGTAATTTGAGTATTTGACAAAAAAAAATAGTGCCATTGGAATGTTTGCATATAATCATAAAGTCACTTACCTGTTTCAACAACGTTAAGATATGCGGTGCTAAAAATATTCTAAAAATCTAGTACGAGTTTGTACAATGAGCGAGAAAGGCTAAACATCTATATTGATCAGCAAAAAAAACTTATTATTGTGTTTGAATGCACAGGCACTTGTCTCTGAAAAAAATTCACCTATAAACTGTAATATATACTGTTATAAGTATTTAGGTAAGGTAAATTTTTTTCAGAGACAAGTACCTGTATATGAATGGCTATTCTTTATGTGTCTATTCCAAGCTGTTTATTATCCAGTGGTTATTGTTGGTAGCTGTTTACCATTAATAATTCTTTTATTAAATTGTCTCATATTGTGTCATAATGGCCAAGGGGCCTACCATAGCTTACCATACGGAATGGGTTTAGCTCATTGTTTAACCTTACACCTGTTTCTATAAAATCATGAGAATTGTGGTGTCAAACTAATCTAAGTACACATCTTTTTATGAAATACAATGATGTTTCTATAAAATAGTGGTGTTAAACTAACCATTCAATGATCTTTGTATGAAATAGTGGTGTTAAACTAACCATACAATGATCTTCCTATGAAATAGTGGTGTTAAACTAACCATACAATAATCTTTCTATGAAATAGTGGTGTTAAACTAACCATACAATGATATTCCTATGAAATGTTGTAGGGTGTTAAACTTACCATACAATGATCTTTCTATGAAATAGTGGTATTATCTAGCCATACAATGATGTTTCTATGAAATAGTGGTTTTAAACTTACCATACAGTGATCTTTCTATGAAATAGTGGTATCATCTAGCCATACAAAGATGTTTCTATGAAATAGTGGTGTTAAACTAACCATACAATGATTTTCCCATGAAATAGTGGTGTTAAACTAACCATACAATGATGTTTCTATAAAATAGTGGTGTTAAACTAACCATTCAATGATCTTTGTATGAAATAGTGGTGTTAAACTAACCATACAATGATCTTCCTATGAAATAGTGGTGTTAAACTAACCATACAATAATCTTTCTATGAAATAGTGGTGTTAAACTAACCATACAATGATATTCCTATGAAATGTTGTAGGGTGTTAAACTTACCATACAATGATCTTTCTATGAAATAGTGGTATTATCTAGCCATACAATGATGTTTCTATGAAATAGTGGTGTTAAACTTACCATACAGTGATCTTTCTATGAAATAGTGGTATTATCTAGCCATACAAAGATGTTTCTATGAAAAAAAAAAAAATATACCGCTCGCTTCACTTGTAGAGCACTCGCCTCACAAAAACTCATTTTCAAAAAATAAATACAATCAAAAAAATTTCGCTCGCCCGCCCCATATTTTTTGGAGCTTTTGTCCGAAGAACTACAAATCAAATTGGTGTGGCCTAACCATACAATGATCTTTGTATGAAATAGTGGTGTTAAACTAACCATACAATGATCTTTTTATGAAATAGTGTTGTTAAACTAACCTTACTCCTGTTTCTAAATAGTCACTGATATAATCTTGTGTAGACTGATGGATTACTTTCCAATTCTTGGTTTGCTTCCCAGAAAATGTCTTTTTCTTTACTGAAAGAAATATGGAGGATGTAATGGAAACACAGTATATTTGCTACGATAACTTGTTGCCAAAGACAAAATTTAGTTTGACATAGCCATGTTGACCAAAAGTATCCAGAATAATCAAACAATCTAAAATCTGTTTTTTTAGATTAGTTTATTTTATTTCAATTTTTATGGTTTGTTTCTTGTTTTCTTTGTTTATATTAATGTTGAATCAATTAAGTTTATGAGATGTGTAGTCCCTACTTTCATACTAAATGTTTGTTGATAAGCCATAATCAACTTAAATATTTCAATACCTTTTCTGTGAAATTTTCTTTAGAATATATTGAATACAGAATATTCTGTAGTTTTTACACAACTTTACTTGGGTTTACACACGGTCATGTTTTTCTGCCCTGTCTGAGGTTTCCTTGGTTATATCTTAGTATTTCAAGTCTCTTTCAAAAAGAAGGTAGAACAATACACAGAAAACTAGCTGAGAAACACGAACCCCACCAAAAACTGAGGGTGATCTAAGGTGCTCTGGAAAGGGTAAGCAGATCCTGTTCCACTGGTGGCAAACATTTCATGATATAGCATGTACTTTTAAGCCTTTGGAAGTATCTGATAATTTTTTATCAAAATTTGTCTACAATCTACATGATTTAAAGCTTGGCATATGACACTTGCAATTGTCTTTTGTTGAATACCACATTTTGCCCTATACATAACATGTTCTGGAAGTCTTTTATTATTTTGATTGTTGGACCTGCAAAACATGTCAAGAAATGGGAGACATAGGGATGGAAATCAAGTACAAACTTGAAGTCCTTGACCTCATTTAGATTATTTAATGACTGCATAAAACATGTAAAAAGACTGTTTACAACACTCCATTACCACAGCTAGTGAATGGCAATTCTTTAGGACTGAGAGTAAGTAGTGAAAAATATGTTATAATTTGTGAACTCTGACAGTGAGACATGTCTAGATTTTTTTTTCTAAGTACTTCAAAGTTTATTGAATTGTTGCTTGGCTGTCATTGGTTCATGTCTGTCATATTTGTGTTTTGTAAATTGTTTTGTTATAAATTAGGCTGTTAGTTTTCTCAATTGAATTGTTTCATATTTTTCATGTCAGGACCTTATATAGCCGACTATACAGTATGGGTTTTTCTCATTGTTGAAGGCCTTACTGTTGTCTTCAATTGCAATCAGTTCTGCCTCACTAAAATAATATGCCTAGTTACGGCCTTGCATATTCATGATATTGTTCTTATCACATTATCAGAGACTTTATTTGACACTTGGATTCTAAATTCTATCGCAGTTCTTATGAATATGTTTATCTTACATGTCTTAATCATTGTTAATTCAATGAATGAGTTTGCTTTCGAAATGCATACAATTGCTAATAATTATAGGCAATACATTTTCTAATATAATCATTGTTGTTTGTCCTTGTATGTTCTAATGTTTTATCGGTGGAGTATATTCGGCAATGGTGGTTATGGTGTGGTCTGTTGTAATTATTGGGTAATTCTTGTTATCATAAATGAGGAGATGTGGTATGATTCATGCCAATGAGACAACTGTCCACCAGAGTTAAAAAGAAGTGGTAGTAAGTATCCTTCATTTTTGTCCTTGTTATGCATAAGAATCCGATTATGTTGCATTGGTGATTCCATTAACTTTGCTAGTGAAATACTCCTTTAGCTCAGTTGGTAGAGTGGTGGCTAACTGTGCCAGGAATTGCAGGATCAAACAACACTGGTACAGTTGTAATTTTGGAAGTAAAATCATGCTCTACAGCTTCAAACATAGTTCCCAACTAAAAAATCCACGGTAAGAGAATTTATACCTAGCCAGGGTAATTTAGTGATGTGATGTAACAACTGCTGGGGTTGGGGAAACGTAGCCGTTTGAATCCTGGCTGGTACAGTTGTAATTTTGGAAGTATAATCATGCTCTCTGGTTATGATAAAATATCCTTTGGGATTCTGTGTCTGAAGCAATTTACTGATTTAGCCACCTTCTGAAGGCGGCCAAATCAGAAAATCGCTCCATCGACAAACAATCCTCAAGGTTCATGTGGACCCTTTAGCTAAAATGGCAGCATTTTCTGATTTCACCTCAAAATTTACTCTGAGTACAGACTAACCTGTGCATCTGGAAAAGTTTCAAGGCATAGCATGCCCTAGATAAATAAAATTCACATGCATTTTATGTTTTAGAAAATTTTAAACTTAACTGGATTTTGCTGTGCACTTTTTTTCGTCCCTGCAGAAAATGATAAAATTAACAAACAGTTGAGTTTCACTTGATATTGTCCACTCAGGTATCTATTTTCCCTCTATTGTCCACGTCAATCAACACAGTTCACTTCAATTATTACCTGTGGGGAAGTTCTCAAACCTCTTTCCCAACTTTAATTTGGCACCTTCTGGAGGAAGGAAAAAAGTGCACTGCAAAATCCAGATAAGTTTTTAATTTTCTAAAACATAAAATGTATTTGAATTTTATTTATCTAGAGAATGCTAAGCCTTTAAATTTTTCCAGATTCATAGGTTTGTCTGTACTCAGAGTAAATTTTGAGGTGAAAATGCAGCTATTTTAGCCAAAGGGTCCAAATGAACCTTAAGGTTCCTCATAACAAATGGACAAAATGGCTGTATTTCCACCTCAAAAACTAATCTGAGTACAGACTTACCTGTCCAGTTGGAAAAGTTTTAATGCCTGGCATCCACTAGATATATAAAAGTTAAATGCATTTTGTTTTTCAGAAAGATAAAATCTTTTTTGGATTTTGATGGCCATTTTTTTTCCTTTCTGCAGAAGGTGTAAAAATAAAATAAGTTGGGATAAAACTTTGAGATCTATGCTCCCTCTCAGGGAATAACTGTATAATATTGTATTGTATTGTTTGTCCTTGATTGACACAGACAATAGACAAACAATAGGTATCTGCTCAACTATAGGTGAGTTAAAGGGTTTAACTGAGTGGACAGCCTTCAGGAAGATCTTGATGCTGCTGCAAAGTGGGAAGAAGACTGGCTGATGGCTTTCCATCCTGACAAATGTACAGTTCTCACTGCCTCAAACAAAAAAAATACAATTAAACACGACTACATCTATCACAGCCATACCCTAGAATCTGTCTCCTCCGCTAAATATCTTGGTATAACACTGCAATCCGACTTAAAATGGACCCAGCATACAAACAACATCATTGGTAATGCTAATAAAAGCCTAGGCTTTCTAAAAAGAAATCTAAAAACATCCATCACAAACATTAAGTCTCAGGCGTACCTAGCACTTGTCCGACCAAAACTAGAATATGCTTGTTCGGTTTGGAGCCCTCATACTGCTGAATAATGCAATAAACTTGAGATGGTTCAACGTCGGGCTGCTAGGTATGCCTGTAATCGTTATCACAACACCAGTAGCGTTACAGACATGCTCAATACTCTAAATTGGCCTACATTACAACAACACAGACTTAAAACTAGACTTATAATGTTCTATAAAATTGTTCACCATATTGTCGCTGTACCATCAGAATTACTCATACCAACAGACAATAGAACCCGACAAATTCATCCACAAACTTACAGACACCTACTTACATTTAAAGACTGCTACAAATATTCATTTTTTTCGTTTACTATTACACAATGGAATGTACTACCTCCAAAGGTAGTACTTTCTCCCACTCTAAATATTTTTAGAGAACAGTTGACACCTACTGTTTTCTACAATATAGAACAGTAAACCTAGTAGTCATGTATATAGTTTTAACCACGTCATGTTAGTATTTGTTTATTTTTGGCACTATTCTTTTGTAAATATTTATTTATTATTATCCTACGCATGCACAACAGTTAGTAATCATCAAAAATCTGATGGATAACTGGATACCATAAGAAGAAGGACAGTATCAAAGCAATTCAGGTGTTAGTTTATTTTTACACCTTCTGCAGAAAGGAAAAAAAATGCCCATCAAAATCCAAAAGTGATTATATCTTTCTGAAACAAAAAATGCATTTAACTTTTATATATCTAGTAGATGCCAGGCCTTAAAACTTTCCAAACTGGACAGGTAAGTCTGTACACAGAGTAGTTTTTGAGGTGTAAATACAGCAATTTTTGTCCATTTGTTATGATGAACCTTAAACTAAAGGGATTAAAAGTCAAAGGCAGCATTGCAATACAAGGTGTCACCTCTATTTATTACCTAATGTGTCAAACTTTTTGGAGGTAATTAGACTCTTTCTTTTTACTTCAGATGCTGGAACAGTAAATTTGTGAATTGAAGTCTGCAAAGACCTATTTTTGCTAGAATTTTCGTTGGTTTTCTGTTTTTTTCCTGTTTTCTTGTCATTTGATTCTTGTGAATTTTTACTTTTGGTTGTTTTAGTTTTAGCCATAGTCAAGTTTTGCTATATAGATAGATTCATGATATGACAGTGATTTCAATTTTCGCGGAAAATTATAGTTGTTCGATGTCAAATTTAAACATTTTGATAACTTTATACTTTCTCTTCTTTTCAAACGCAGAACAGATTGAAATCTAAAAATCTAATTTTAGAGCCGTATGCGGTATTTAATTTTTTTCTGCTTTCGAAGGTTCATCAAAAACAAGAGTGGAGATTAGTATTTAGGTATTATGACAGGTAGTCATGTCAGTTCCCTCAGCTGACAGAAAGAACACTCATGCAGTGACGTTTGCAGTCCTTTCATGAAAGCATAACTTATTTCACCTGCACAGTCTAATATTTTTACTAATTTCATCAGTTTTATATCAAAGATTGCTACAGACACATATACATTTATACTATAGATTATTGGGTTTTCTAAAGCCACAATGTGAACCTTTTTTGGCGAGTGAGCATAGCGATCAAGCCAGAAAGCTTCACATTGTGTCCAGCAACTGATATTTCACGATAACTAAAATACATAGAAAACCCGTTAATCTATTTATTGTTCTGTTACCATTCCCCCCTCCTCCCCTCCTCCACCCTTTAGACAGTTAAACCCTTAACAAAAGTAAGCTTGATAATGTTTCCTCACTCATTTTACATGAAGTCGCAGATAACTCCTCCACAGATGTTGTGATGTCGCTGATAATATCTGCTCATGTTTCAAAGCCATGGACCAAGAATTATAGACCAAATTCTTCTGTCTCTATATAGCATATATTTCCTGATCTTCATTTGATTTTTTTTATTGATTTTTTTTGCGATATAGAAAAAAAAAACTTAGAAAAATGCAAAAATAGTAGAAAGCAAAATTTAATGAAGATCAGGAAATATATGCTATATCATGTATATTAGTCCAGTCATTCTATGGTTATACCTCAAACTAATTGCAACAGAAATGTGTTTTGCGGAATTCGTGAGAGATATAACGTATAAGAAACATATTAAAAATCGAGAAAAATCGAAATAGGGGAAAGTCGTCAATTTTGGCGAAAAAAAAATCAAGATTTTACTTCAAATATTATGGAAAGATATGGCGCCCGTAGATTGAGAATGACGATATGGGAGACAACTCGTAATGGTCAACTGCAGACGACGCATCTAGTGTTCATCCTTTTCATTCTGGTAAGTAAATATAAGACTTATATATAAAAGTTTTATATGTATTTAGCACTCTTAAGAGTAAAAGCTGTCATGCAAGGTATTTTTGGTGTTTTTGAAAGGCGTAAATACACGGGAGACGGCAAAAAGTAGTACAGGGCAGAAATGAGTTCATTTCGGTTTGCCGAGGTCTCTAAACCACAAATCACGTGTAAAACAGCTCTGCTTGTTATATTAGGACTAAATTATATACATTTCATATATAAATCGCCCCGTAAAAAAGAAATTATAGTCTACTGCCAGGAGTTGCTGACGAAAAAAAAAGTATGGAACGCCGTTAGTGCCAAAAAGGTTACAATCCAACAAAATTGAATTCATGGAAAAAGGAAGTTGTACTGATAATAAAATTTAAAAATCGATACAGACAAATTGTTTTACCAAAATAAGATGAATATTTATTAATTAAATGATAGAGGGACATTAGAATTGTCCAGTTTAACAAAGCTACCATTATACAATTTAACTGAGCTACCATGCACCAAGCAGGGGAAATGCACTCTATCAAACTTCATATTACATGTTGGGGCAATTTTTATTACTGTTGTTTTTCTGTGCATACATCAAGCAGGTATTTTACCCGAAAAGGAGGAGGGGCGCCACTTAATACTTGTATTAATGTCATATGTTTCTGTATAAAAGTTAACATGATAAAGTAATAAAAACTCACTGAAATACGGCAGAAAGTACAAATAGAACCAGAATATCGACAAATAGAAACTATTAACAAACTGAAAAAAAAAAACTGTTGTAATCCTGAATTAAAATGAGTACAGACACTACATATGAATGATTTTATAGTTTTAAAAAAGTCAACATAGATCTTTTCTTAATATTGTATCCAAAACAAATCTTTTGATAAAAATAATATGAAAGCAAAACCAAATTAAATGAATCTCGTGTTAACAGTTTTATCATTTTTTTAGGTAATGATGAATGCTTGTGTTTTCTGTCGGGTGTCTCTAAACAATGGTGAAGAAATAACACAACTAAGAGAAAAAGGATGTAACACAGTTAATAGGACCAGCCAAACCAGAAATGATACGATCGTCACAACTCCAGGACACAAAGTTCATCAGAAATGTCGACGTGATTACATAAACGCTAATTCAATCAAGAAGGACTTGCGAGACAAGGATTTATCGACAACCGAGCTAAGTCGTGACTTACGCTCTTCCACTCCTGTTTTCGAGTTCCAGAAGAACTGTTTATTTTGTGGAAATAATGCAAAATTTTCGGAGAGCAAAAGGGGAATCGACGTGTTTCCTGTCAGGACAACAGATTTTTCTAAGACCCTTAGAAACATCTGCAAAAAAAGAAATGATGAATGGTCCGAAAACGTTTTGAGGAGGCTAAACATTGCGCCATCCGATTTGCACGCTGCAGATGCAATATACCACCAAACATGTAGTGTTAATTTTAGAACTGGTAAGCAAATCCCCGTTTCGAAGCAAGCAAACAAAGAGGTCAAACGAACGACACCAGGACGACCAAAAGAAGATTTATCAGAGAAAGCTTTCCTGCAAATAGTTAGACAATTAGAAGAAACACAAGACGAACCTGCAACCGTAAGCGAACTTGCTCAGGCTATGGAAGAAATTTGCGGAGAGAAGGCGTATAGTGTGGTGCACATGAAAAAGAGACTGCAAACCCATTTTGGATCCGATATCATTATCACGGAAGTAAACGGAAAGTCGAATATAGTCACATTCAGGAGAACAGCATCATCTATACTGAACGAATTTTACAGAAGACCATCATCTAAGAGTCCAGAAGATGAAAAGCTGTCGATGATAGAAACAGCAGTTAAGCTAATTAAAACAGATATTATAAGCCTTAAAGATTCAAAATCTATATATCCGTCTTCTGTTGATATAAACTCACAGCAAAACACTGCCTTTGTCCCAGATTCGTTACGAACATTTCTAAATGCATTATTTAGTCAAACGACTCCACTGTTAAAGTTGCATCTGTTGGTCAAGCTATAATTCAGGCAACCCGACCAAGAACACTTATTGCACCGCTACAAATTGCCCTCAGTGTACAAATGCATCATCACTTTGGATCAAGGTTTTTGTTGGACACTTTGAACACTCTTGGTTTTGCTTCTTCTTACACAGAGGTTCAAAGGTTTGAACTTAATGCTGCTGCTGCTGCTCATGACAGAACCGACACACAGTTTGGGAATGACACTTTCGTTCAGTAAATAGCTGATAACGTAGACCATAATCTGCGCACTTTAGATGGTCATGGAACATTTCATGGTATGGGCATGAATGCAGCTGTAACTCCAGGATTTAGACTTGACAAAGCTGTCCCTAGGCTGTCTCCCACACTAAAGGAAGTCTCTGACTTAGCGAAGATTAACATAGATTATTATAAGATGCAATCTAAACAATCGTTACGGGCAGAGTTCGCAACCATGAATTATGAGCCAAATATGGTCGATACAACGTGGAAGTTAGACCTTCTGTCAAAAGTATGCTGGCCTTTGACATGCAACCGACCTAGTTGGTCAGCCATTATGCACAAAGTGATGGACGGTGATTATCTAGGAAAATCATCTGTTGTTTTTTTGCCAATGATAGACATGAATCCCAGTGATCTCACATGTATAAATTCAACACTTAACTTCATAAGCAAGCAAGCAAAGGCTCAACATTGTTCACCTATTTTGACATTTGATCAACCCCTCTATTGGAAGGTAATGAACATAATTAAAGATGAACCATTGGATAGTCCTTTAAAGTCAGTTATCTTGAGACTTGGAGGCTTTCATTTAGAAATGAGTTTTGAAGGCGGCATTGGTCACTTGATGGAAGGATCTGGAATTACTGAGCTACTTGAAACAGTGTATGCACCAAATGTAGTAACTCATATGACTAGTGGAAAGGCTATTGCACGAGCAGTAAGGGCACATTTCCTGATAGACACAGCTCTCACGTCAATAATCTTGTCACACATATACGGCATACCACTTCCAGATCAAATCGAAAATGAGAGTGGAACCAATGATATTAATCCGGCAAATTACATAAATACCGACATTACTGATATGACTGCTGAGGACCTTTCGGATGAGTTGCATGAAGCAGATTCGATGTTGGATGAACTACTGAAAGGGGACATATCCGTCGAAAAAGCTTGCGAAAATGTTTTATTAGATCAAATAAAATCTAGGATAGATAACTTTCTGGTGTCACACAAAAGTTTTCGTACTTCACAACTATGGTTCCAGTATATGGATATGATAGATAAACTCCGTAGATTCATCAAAGCTGAAAGGACTGGGAACTGGGGTCTACATTTACAAACAGTCAAAGACATGCTTCCGTATCTTGCAGCTTCAGGACACAATCTTTATGTCAAATCATCACGAGTATACTTACAACAAATGCAGAACTTGAAAACAACACATCCTGACGTATTAGCTTTTTTACAATCAGGTTATCATATTATAAGAAGGAGTGATAAATTCTGGGCAGGTCTTTCTTCTGATTTGGTCATAGAACAGGTTTTAATGAGAAGCTTAAAGACGACAGGCGGTATGACTCGGGGCAGAGGTATGTCAGAGGGTCAGCGAGCCCAATGGATTTTATCTATGCCAGACTGCGCGGAAATGAACAATGCTTTGCAAGAGTTTACTGGAGTAAATTATGGAACAAGTGACCAACATAAAGAAGGTGGGTATTCAAGGAGATCGAAAGACTGTCAAGATTTGAAAACATTTTTTATCGTTTCTTATCAGCAGAAATCCTTTTGTAGAGGAAACCAGTTTGCGAAATATAGAAACAGGGGTCTCGGCGGACAAATTTGTCAATGTTGATAATTCGAAGGAATTAGGGATTAAAATTCAAAAGTCCATGGACGGACAGAAAATTGATGAATTTTCATTTAAAAGGAAAGAACAGGCCATTATCTTAAGTGCAAAATCGGCTATGAAAGTTGATGATGATGTCATTACTGTTGATTCACAGCTTCTCTTTCAGCGCTTTCTTGCTGCATCAAATGGAATATATGAAGAT